TCACTCTATTGCCCAACATGGGGGGATGACCATAAGCACTTGGTCAATGAGTGACCATGGTTGCCAGCCTGTGGCCTGCCTTTCTACCAGCCCATTAGCCCATGTAGGTGTTTCGATATCTGTTTATCAGCCCAGCCCATGGGTGTGCTCATCCTCTTCGTGGGACCTCCTGAGAAGTTGAGATAGGTCTGTTAATGTCTGCTTACTAGCCAGTTTGTTAACCAATAGGATTCTGTATTTTGTGTAGACCCTATGGGGCAAGGTCTCTTACCAGTAAGACTCTTTGTTTCTGGTCTGCTCCACCTATGTTGTCTGGGTATCAAGCACTGCAATGCTAAAGCCTTGGAGGAAGGGGGCATCTCAGATCATGAGGAAGATCTCATGTCTACTTCATTAGAGGGGGGTCATGGACCCTTAAATAAAGTGCCATTGTCTCAGAGCTCTGCCTCAGTGATTTTTCTTGCAGATTGGACAATTTTGGAAATCCCCACACTGGCATATAAAGAGGAGATGAGAACTCAGGACAGAGCCTTGGGGACACTCAGGTTTAGGAAATAGGAGATGGATGGTCCAGCAAAAAAAACAGAGAAGCAGAAATTTCCGCTAAGATGCCTCAATGAGTGGTCATCCAGTTTGTGCTTAAAGTTCTTCAGGGATGGGGAACTCTGTCTCCCAAGGGAGGCGAAAGTCCATTTTGAAATAGCTGTAATTGTTGGGAAATTAAGCTCACTTTAGGCTAATTTGAAGCCAGGTACATTTTGTGGTTCCTTCATTCAGAACTTGACGTGAATTGTACTGGGAGCAAGCTTTCTAGACTTCTTCAACTGTAAATAAGCTTGATCCAGGGCCTGGGACAGTTTTACTTCTAATTCCCTCCGAGATGATCTTCCCTTTGCACTGCATACATCTTGTATGTATGTAGCTATTTGCATATTGTCACTTCCATTGGCATGTGAGCTCCCCAAGGGCGAACAAAGGCTGTGTTTTTGGCCAGTCTTGGCATCCTCAGTGCTTCCAACCCTGCCTGTCACATGGTAAATGCTTTTTGATTGACTCCAAAGCAACCTCTGATCTTCCTCCGATTGCAAAATATAAATACAAATATAAAATGGTGTGTTCAGTGTTCAGGGAGGACCAGCACCTCTGGTGGGAGGGCCTGCTGAGCCCTTTTCAAGGCTGCTTGTTCACCTTTGGTGTCCACCTTTTCACCCAGTGTTCATCTGTGGCTCTAAGAAGGGGTAGCATTCGCATCAGTCACACCCCAGTAAAACCATTGCAACAGAATGGCTAAACCAAGTTGAGGGTAATGACGTGTCTCAAATCCATCAGTGAGTTAGGCGGATGGCTACTCCAAGTATTCCCCAGGCAGAAGTGGTGGATGAGAACAATTTGTTCCAATAACCATGAAGATGGCTGCAGCAGACACTACAGAGTCCTCGGAGCTTGGTCAGACATCGAAGATGCCAAGATCATCCACTGCGTCCTGGCCATTGCCAGTTATCATGACTTTGTTCTTATTACTGGACTTCAATGACTCTGGAAGAGAGAGTGAGGCTGACAACTTTGTGCATCACTTAAATATAGTTCACACACTAGTCAAGAATCACCCAGTGATGTCACTGGTGCTCTTCAAAATGAAGGATGAACAATAAATACACATATAGGCCAAAAGCAAATGAGTTTCCATGAGCTTCCTCTTCCCTTTCCTCCCTTCAGAAGATCTGTGGTGGCCCGTGTGAGAAGCGAACTGAACAAAGCTGACAATCTTTCCGTAGTGCAGGGAAGGAAGTTTGGGTAAAGAGCAGGATTAGCGGTCACAACACTTTGTTCCTATTCGCAGGGGGAGATCCCAATGGGGAGAAATCTTGGTAGGCAGTTCCCATAGCCCTCAGGGGAGGGGAGGACACAGGAGATTAGTTCCAGAGGTGGGGTCATGTAACAGCTTTCACACTTCGTGTGAAATTTTATAAATTGCCTCATTAGGAATGAGCAGTGCGGGCAGGGATGCCCAAACTGTGCTATCCAGTAGGAGACACCCAAGAGGTCTGTGGCTAGATTTCAAGAGGTCAGTAAACTTGGATGGGGAAGAAAATCACCTCATTATTTTCACTAGCTTCTAATTAAAATTTAGCATTTCCTCAATTATGAATGTAGGCAACAAAACATGATTCTGAGGAGAGGTCTCCAGGCTTCACCAGGCTGCCAGAAGGGCCCTTGGCACAAGCAAGGTTAAGAACTAGACTAGTTGATCATGAAAGGTCCTTCCAACTCAGAAATCACATGATTCAGTGACAAAGAGGATAATAAGTTGCCATCTATATACTCTAGAATTCAGGCTTTGCTAATTGAAAAAAGGGTTCTCTGAAATACAGGTTTAGGTGAATGCATACGCACACATATCTGTCGTAACTGAAAAAAAAATTCTTGGAATATACGGAATATGAAAAAATCATGTTTTACTTGTCTAGTTGGTATAATAGTTGGAGCACTGGGCCTGGAGTCAGGAAGACTTGAGTTCAAATCCTGCCTCAGACACTTTCTAGCTGGGTGACTCTGGGCAAGTCACTTAACCTCTGCTTACCTGTTTCCTCATCATCTGCAAACTGGGGATAATAACAGCATCTTCCTCCCAGGGTTGTTATGAGGGATCACATGAGATAATAATTGTAAAGCTCTTAGCATACCTGGCACACAGTAGGTGCTATGTAAATGTTAGCTTTAATTTTATTTTTATTTCTATTAACAAGATGGCCTATCTCCCCTCCATACACACTCTCCGTTTCCTTCTACATTAAGTCATTACTAGAGTACATTGTTAAAAAATTATTAGAGAAGAAAGGGGGGAAATTGGCCAAAATTCAAAATATAAAATGTAAAATAAGAACACTGAAGAAATATTTCAGAGATCAAACGTTCCATAACCTGATTCCACTCTGCACTAGCACAGAACAAATCTGTAAACGTCCAAAGAAAAGATAGCTACTATGTAAAATATACTAAGAGTTAAGCTAAGAAATTTTAGGCAGGTCAAAATTGGTGGGCCATTGTGACTCATGTCACGTTTCTTAATGTGACAGAAGTTAGTGAAGGACGGGAGAGGGTTCTCCTTATGAACCATGTTTCCATTTGTCACTGCGACAGCTGGAAGCAAAAGTAGCCTTTGGAGTTCCAGATTCATCTCCTTGGCCTTGAAACATATGTCTTTTGTTCAGTCTAATTCGCCCACATCTGTATAAAATAAAAATGCATTTTTGAAGCAACATGTGGAAGGGGGGGATGCAAAATTCCAAGTTACTTCGAAGAAAGCAGTATGCATAATTCACCATTTAATGGGAAGCTAATGTACCCTAGAGGTTGATGTGGGTGTTTTCTGCAGTTCATTCTGATAGTATCTTCTCTATCTCCCAAGGGACAATGGACATTCATTTGGTATTGCCCTGCTTGTGTGTTACACTCCTTTCTTAGCCCTTTTAAACAGCTCATGACCCTAAGTAGGAGTAAAATGAATTGCTTAAATCATTTTAGAATGGTTGCTATGGTTTCTAAGTGCACATGCAGAGGAAACTAAACATTCCATGTTGGTCATGTTAGCATCTCAGCATCAAATGAAATGCGAATAAAGTGACTAAATGTCATTAAACATACCTAACTCCCTTTGGAAGAGTGAGCTATTATCTTTGGCCTGGGTTGATTGTTTGCATTCTTATAGGACTGTACTTGACGGAGTATTGACTCATTGACAGTGAAAATCAAGATGAAAAATATTCTGACGAGGCAGAAGGGAATCCTGACCTGTAAGAAGGTGGAGGGCAGAAGAATGTCGCAGAGATGCTTCTGAGGCTTTCCCCAAAGTTCGGGGAGCAGGATGCTAAAGCAGATCCACAGACACTGTCAGTAAAGGTCAAAGGGAAGATCATACACACACACCCTGACTCGAGGGGGCAAACCTACAGATGAAAGCTGAGGCAGTGTGTTCAATGTGAACTCCTAGGCATCAACATTCTGGGGATGCAAAATCCACAATATGTACTATAATACAGCAGACATTGGTACTTAATAATTCAACTAAGCACATATTATTGAAAAGAAATTGCTCTGACTTGCAAGAAAACACACCAAAAAAACAGATCGTCCAATTTCAGTCTGAAACAAAAGAAAAAAAAATGCTGATTTTTCTGATATCAACATATGAGCCTCCCAAATGTTGTAGGTGTTGCACTTGAACTTGTAGGTTTGCAGGGTTGGGGCAACTACTCTTGGGTTCTTGGGATAATCCTGGAGATCGACACTCACTCACTAGTGCTCATGAGCCCTCACCAGTGCATTTCCCATTAACAATCAGCCATTAGACACAATTAGCTCTAAGCAAAGGTATTTACTAAGATGGCATAGAAAGAACAGTAGATAGATAAAGCATTTATTAAACATTTACAATAAGCCAGGGACTGTATTAAGTACTGGAGATGCAAATATAAGCAAGCAAAACAATGCCTACTCTCAACACTTCTATTAGGGGAAGATAACACATAAGAGGGAGCTGAAAAGTAAGCGTTTGTGTGCTGGAGTTGTAGCCAGGGAATGCCCAGTGGCAGGGAAGTGGCATGGAGGTCTAGGCCTGGGAGAGATGAGTCAAACACTCATGTATCAGGCTGAGAGTCCCAGAGACGGTGTCCAGTGTATTGAAGGGAAGGGGGGGAAGAGGGAAAATAACGGCCTGAATGGAGCAGACTACAAGATGCTTCACCTAGAAACCTGATATACATTCTCACAAATGCAGGATCAGTGAGAAGAGTGGGAATACATTTAATGTGCTATTGTAGTGAGGTAAGCCTATGGGGAACACGTATGCCAAGTCACACAGCAATTATGGTACTTCCGAAGGGCATCAAAATCCTTTCTCTCCTTGGCAAGCACTATCTGTAGCTCAATTTGTCATTTTCTTTTCTCTGCTGCCATGAGTCACATTTCTTGAAATTCCTTCCTTCTTCATCTCTCTCTAGTCATGTCTCTCTGCTTGCTTGACTGGACCTGAAACTCTCAAATGACTTGTCGATTTTGGATGGCCAATCTCCTAGGTGAGTAAATCTGCTGCTAGATACTCTGGCTGAGATGGAGAAAAATCCACTCCTCCTTCCCAGCAAGGACCTCCCTCCATAACTTCCATAAGCCTTGACTACCTCCTTCTCTCAAACTTGTTAATTAAAGAACTCTTCCTGGTTGAATGACCAGGCCCAAAGATTTGTCATTAATTCCTGGGCTTGGAGGAAGGTTTCAAGTTGACTGTCCCCAGGGATTTGCCTTTGGCCCTATGCTCCTACTTTTTTTTTTTTTATGAACAATTCAAATCAAAACATAGATGGAATGACAACCAAACTTGTAGATGACACACATCTGGGAGAGCTAACCTGTTGGACGACATTATTCTGATCCAAAAGATACCAACAAGTCAGGCCGAATCCTACACTTGGATTTTTTCTTTTTTAACAACTTCCTAAGTATAGCACATGGGAGGTTTGGTTAGACAGCAGCTTGTTTTCAGTGAAATCTGGGGGTTTTAGTGAAAAGCGAATCATTCATGTGAAACAGCAGGCAAAAGAGCTTACAGTGATCTTAGGTTCTACTAAGAGAGGCATAATGACCAGAATATGGGAGGTGATATTTGTCTTATATCTTTCTCTGGCTGGCTCACGTCTATTTTCAATCCTAGTGCCACATTTTAGGAAGTACAGTGATAAGTTAGATTCCAGAGGAAAATAAGGACATTGAAAGGCCTTGAGAAACAATACCCCATGGGAGCTGTTTTCAAGTATGTGAAAAGATACGGTACAGAAAAATAGAAATAGAAGTTTGCTGAGGCCCTGGAGTCAAGACAATGAGCAAATCATGCTTGGACTACTATTTGTTGGGAATCTTATTGAGGGGATTCTTGGTCAAGTATGGGTTGGATTAGATGGTCTTTGAGTTACTGTTATTCTGAATTGTCCTGAAACTAAAAGGATGAAATGCCCCTTTCTGTAAGCCAAGGCTTTGATGCTATGTACTAAAAAAACAAAAAACAAAACCTGGGCTAGACAGGAAACCTGACTGCCACTAATTACCAAGTGACTTTAGACAAGTCACTTGACCTTTCTAGGTAGGCCTAGTTTTGTAATCTGTAAAATGAGGGGAAAGGGGTTGTTTTATATTCTCTTAGGTCCTTTCCAGTTCCATCATTTCAGTATCATTTCTACTGAGACTCAAAAATCCTCAATATTAGATATGAATGCTTAGAATTTTTGGAAGCAGTATAGCATAGTAGATGAAGAAATAGCTATGGAGCTGGGAAGACCTGCCTCTGACACGTAATTGGTCGTGTGACCCTAAGCAAGTCATTTTAACTACTCAGTGTGCCAAGCATTTCTCTAAGAATTAAACTTGCATTAGTTAAGGGAAGATAACCAGAGCTCTCTATACCAATGAAATCATAGATCTTGACCAAAAACAAAACTTAATATTTTTAAGTATTAAGGACTTAATGAAACATCCAGTATTTGGGAATGACTTATCAACATTCTGGTGAGGCTGTATGGCTATGAATGAAAGCAGAGATTAGATAACCCAAGTCCACCTAATGGGGCTGAATGACTTCCCCAAAGATACCAGGCAGAGTTTTTCTTTTTTCTAGCCTTGTGCTCTTACCATTACATGCCAATATTGAAGCAATGGCTTAAAAAAAATGGCATCTTTCAGCCTTTCAGTTTTAGTACTCAGAATCCCATCCAGTCCAACCAATACTTGACCAAGAGTACCTGACTACAATCTCCTAAGAACTGCAATTGTGAATGATTTGAAGAGCAATTGGAAGAAATATATTGGCTAAAGATGGGCTAGAGCATAGCATAGCTAGAGCACAGTACTGACCAGTGACTACATGTCAGAAGTGGTGTAAAAGATATCTAGGAAATACATTACTACAAAATGTCCTCATATAATGGGAGCTAGGGGAAAAAAGGCCAACAATTGAAGGTCACCAAGTACCTACAGAATAAAGATGTCCTTGCAGTGGGTTGGATGTATCCTTTATGGACAACTTACGAGAGAATACCGACAAGAGTTAAAATGGGATGACACATATATGATCTGTGACCTGCATCCTTAAAGGGAGTATATTGATGAGCTCATGGATCCATTTCATTATTTAATCTAGGAAGATTTTTAAACTTAAAACCCAGGCAATTTGAAATTGAACAAAAAATGATGAAAAGCCATATAAACTAACTTGAAATGGAGTGAATTCTTTAAAAAAATTTGATATCTTTTGTTTCGGCAACATATTAATTTCTGAGTATGTTCCTCCTTACATAATGAACTGCCTCTTACAATGTTGGGTAAATTCCATTCAACTATGTGCTAGGCACTATGTTAAGTGTTGGGGGCATCTAATGGTGAAAAAAAGTTAAGAGTATGCACAAAACTTAACAGAAATAAGTACAATAAATGCAAAGTGAAGTGTGATACAGTAAAAGGAAGCTGAAAATATTCTAGTAAAATTTGAGGGATACAACACTTACAAGTGGGAGAAATCTGGGAAGGTTTAGAGGTGCCGGAACAAAGCAAAGCTTTGAATAAAAAGACTATTTTAATAAGCAAAGATGAAGAACTCATGTATTTTTGGCATGGGAGACAAAAGCACAAGTGCAAGGAGGTGGTAGGATGGTAGGATGAAATTACAAGTACTGCACTTTGATTGCAACACAATGTACGAAAGGGACCAGCTAATCGTTTTATTGAAACTGAAAACTTGAAAGCTTCCAGTGTCACTCTAGATACAAGCAGAGAAATACTATATAAAAGTACTTCACATAAATGTGAGTTTTTAAATACACTATATAAGGTATAATTAATAGCTGAGGGAAGAGAGACTAGTTGACCTTTACCACCTTATCATTTCATAATTCTTAATTCTTCCTTGTCTGAGCCCTCTAGTCATGTTGTATCATAGATTCAACAAAGAGCAACATAAAATCGAAAAATATAATTAAACATTTAAAAAAATAACCTAGATTTAACACTTTCATGACTACCTATTTTTATCCAATTTTAGTTGGACTGTGGGGGGAGGTTGGGTGCTTAGGTGTTTATTCCCAGGGATTCTGTGGAATTTTCTATAATGGCAGCTAACATTTATATGGTAGTATGTGCCAAGCACTATGCTAAGCACTCAATGTTACCTCACTTGAACCTCAGGACAATCCTGTGAGGAAGGTGCTATCCTCATTTTACAGATGAGGAAACTGAGGCACAAAGGTTAAGAGACTTGCCCAGGGTCACACAGCTAATAATTGCCAGAGGCAGGATTTGAAGACTTCCTGCATCCAGGTCTGCAGCTCTACCCACTTTGCTACTTAGCTGCCTCAAAGTACCAGTCTTAGAGTCAGCAAGCCCCTCACTTCAAATGCTACTTCTAGAATAAAAGCTTAAAAGGGATTTTTTGGGGCTCCCATTCTCAAACTGGAAGACCGACTCTTCATGCACTAAACAGTCTGATGGGTCACATTTTCCATGGCTCATGAAGATTTTCTAAAACAGGTTCTTCACGCCTGGTCTATGATCTTGTTTAAAATATTTCTGTAACTCTTATTTCAGCATGATTGGTTTCCTTTGTAATCCTATTTTATGCATTTAAAAACATTATTCCAAAAAGAGGTCCATGAGATAAAGAAGGTTAAGACCTCCTTGCTGTCCTGGTCAATGGGCCATACTATTACTGTGAAGTTGGAGTTCTGGGCAGTTTGGAGGCATAAGCCTATTAATTCCCCTCATCCTTCTACTCTTATTTGACAGCAATTTCTAAATTTTTGCTGGAGTACTTTTTCTCCCTATAGTTTCTCTCCTTGTATTCCATGTAATGTTTGAATTAGTTGTCACCTTGGGCTATCATTAAAGGGTGTCATAATAACAACTCACATTTATCATTTATAAAGCACATTAAGAGTTTACTAAATGCTTTGATAAGCAAGCTGTTTAGGTTGTTTTTTCCATGAAACTTTTGGAAAAAGTTGTTATGAGCTGTAGAAATCCTGTAACAATCTCCCAATTCTACTTATCAATATGCAAATTCACACATCTTTTTATTCAACACTTCCCTAAATGCACATACTTACCTTTATAATTGCCTTTGAAATGGGTAGCAGTGCAAGATGCGACCACTTGGATGCTTTTGATTGCTGATTTAGGGAAAGCCATAACCTAGACTCCATATGGTTTTTGACACTGAGTACCTACAATGCGCAAAAAGCACATTTATCCTTCTTGTCACTATTTATTTTTCTAGGTAAAGACAAGATAATTCAGAAGAAACCAAGTTCCTCTTTTAAAATTTGGGTTTCCTGTCGGATTTGTATGTCCACTAATGATCTCAAAAATAAAATTTCAGGCCACATTCAAACTTGAAATTCAATAAAGTCAGTTAAGCCCAAATGAAACTTTACAATGGAAAGTGTACTGAAGTGAACAGGAAAAATTGATGGCATAATCCATTTCAAGCTTCTAACTCCTGGGACTAGGGATATTTAACATCTGCTACCCACAAAGGCTACAATAAATTTTTAGAAAATGAATGTAAAGATATTAATGAACAATCTGCCATCATGCCAAAAGAAAAGGAATTTGGTCTTACTAAAACAGAACAAGAATACTTGATTTCAAAGTTTTAATAAAGTCACTACATTTCAGGTTTTTTTGTCTCTCTTTATTTAAACACAAATACATTTACAGCATGCAGGTTAAATTAAAACTATATGGCGTCTTCCCCAAACCAATTATCTTTGAATGTATCTTCTTCACGCACTGAAATTAAGCCAACGTATTCCACAGGTAGATTCACTCATGTCATCTCATGTCAAATTTAGAGTTACACACAGTAGTGAGTCAGTAATCTTAAATTATGCAAATAATTTAATTGATCACCATGAATAAATATTATTCTTTTATTTCACTGAGTTTTTCTTCTAAACCATTTAACAAGACAATTCAGAGGAACATAAAAATAAAATCCACTCCAAAAAAGGGATACTGCAAATTGAAATAGCATTGCGTCAGGGTCCTAGTAGAGACTGAAAATGTTCATTTACAAAGAGTAAATAAATGTTCTGTTCCATTGACCTACCGAAGCAGAACCAAAGAGCAGTTCCTTTTAAAAAATTTAGATGTAATTCCTGGTAAACTCTGCAAAAGGTTTAAAATTAGAAATTAAAAAATTATTAAGATATAAAAAGGTAATGTATGTTTTTGAGCTACATGCTAGTTACAATTGCACTGTTACACAGCAATGCTCAGCACCGAGACCCGTGATACTTTACTTACAGGAATGAAACTACCATAGACAGACAAAAGAGAAAAAAAAATCTGCTTCATTGATGTATATTTCCGAGAAAACCAGTTTTCAGTCAGAAGTGAAATACAAATATCTAACTAAGATATGCACCCATTAGGCAGGCAAGACAAAGGTGTTTTCATTTAGAAAACTCTTGTCTTCATCACAAATGTTGCAGGATTTTCTTCTTTAGCAAAATTGCCTATCTTGCTACACACAAAGATTTCATCTTGAATTTTGGAGCGCTTCTTTTTTGATCAGTCCTAAAAGCAACATAATGGCTTTAGGGCTACAGACCGCAACAGCAAGGACTTCTGGCTGTTAATAAAAAAAATAAATAAATAAATTCACCCTTTAAATCAAGATTTTTACAAAAACTGGAAATTACAGTAGTTAAGGAAATAGAAAAATAAGCCAATTAGGGTCTGAAAACTTCTGACAATGGCTCCAAATTTCATAATACAAATATTTGTATATAAAACTTTGCTAAAAAGTTATTTTGCCACCAACATCCTAATAAAGAACTTCAGGGTTCCTATATTATCTGATGAATAGCTCCCAAACCCTAACTTTTCCCTAAATCCTGCTAAAAGCCCTAGAAGAAGCAAAGGTTTGAGATCTCTTTCCATATCACTGATATTACTTTTAAATGAAATTGTTGATTCATTTCAATCCTCTGAGGAAGAATTGGGAGCAATAGGTAAAAACTCTAGATCTAATTACAAAATCACGGACTAAAGCCAACAAAGGAAACCATTTTATTTCATGAATATACTAGTGACTCTTGCAAACAAGGCAAAAAAGAAAAGATTCATTTAATATAAAAGGTTTGGAGTAAACATCCCAATATTTCTAGACTAAACCAGAAATAAATTATAGTGTACAACTCAGTGTAGAACAATCTTAAAACATACCTCAAGGATGGGTGACCAAAATGAACTAATTCCTATTTTATGTGCATCAGTGTGTTTTACTTAATTATCTAGCTGTTTAAGCTACTTCACGTTTCCTCAATTTCCAAAGGCTAAATTTAGATCATTGATGTAGTACTGATAATGTGAGAATAAGAAATTAAATTTAGTTCTAGACCCTTCTAGTTCCTTTTCCTATGTTAGAGATGATAAATTAACTGTCAGATTTTTGTGCTAGACAGTAGGCTAACCGGAATGAAGCAGGATATTTTCACCTCATCAAACTATATTGTGTATAGAATCAGGAACAATACATAAAATGTTCCTTTGCCAAACCAACTCTCTTGTGTAAACTTAGGTTTACTTGTTAATATATAGTATTTAACTAAAAATAACCTGGCAACAGGCATTTCATCAGATTAACAGTTAAGCAGCCTGGTTGAAACTGAAATGTCTAGTTATGCAGTTTCAAGATTTCAGTGTCCAAATGATGTTCAGAAGCACACTTCAGAAATCATACAAAGAAATGTTAGCCCTGATGTCATTTCCAGGAGTCTTTAAGCGCTGCCCTGATACACACCGTGGGACACACAGTGAGTGCTACAAGTGGTAAAACAATATCACATCTAAACTCCAACCTTGTTCCATGTTCCCTAAAACAAGAAAACACACACAAAAGAAGGAAGGTGTTAACTAAAACCTTCTTTAAACCTGTAGAGTACATTCAACTTGGCACAGTGCAGACTAAATTTAAGACATGAAAGACAAATCGTGTCATGAACAGGGCTACGCTCTGAAATTACATGTCAATTTTCCAAGACGCCAAAATTGCACTCTAGTTTTGTTGAGGATCAGCAGAATTTGCAAGATGAGTTGGGTGGGAAATAGCTGTACAGGCCAGGTATAATTTCTACATTTAAAAAAGTTATAATTCTATAATCCCTGCAGGGGAGAGATTATAGTCATGGAATGAGGCTCTCTCTGCTTGGTAACACATCATCTTCAACAGCTGAAAGAGAAAAAAAGCAAAGAAAAATCAGTATTTCAATTTACAAATAAAAGATTTTCTGTTGTAATTATGAAGTGGGACAATACAATTTCAAAACAGCTAGATTAAAATTTATGAATAATCTAATACTTTCTAAAGATGTATCAATAACCACCTTACCAAACTTTTAAAAAAGACTTCTTTTACTTACCACCATTTGAACATCAGGGAAACAAATAAGCTAATAAAAGCTAACTAATTTTTAAGTCTTCAGAACCACTGGAAAGAATAGACAATAGTTTCGAGTGTGCTGGCAAGTACAGCAGAGGAGAAATGAAAAGGTAGAGACAATAGACTGCAAAAACAGCAAAAGAAGAAAATGGGATGAAGAGAAAAAGAGGGCGGAAAGAGATCCTCACAAAAGTGGAAAGAGGGAGACTGTTATCCACCATTCTCTCAGGTGCGATAGGGTTCCTCATCCAGGGAGAAGTGTTAAAATTAACTCACAGATAGCTTAGCAGTAAGAGAATCAGTAATAACGATGATGATTGCCAGTGGGATTTTGGATTGTTTTTCTAGTAGAAGAAATCAGTCTGAACTGTTCCAGTCACACCAGAATTTTTCAGATAAAATGATCTCAGTTTACTCTACAAAAACTTTCACACTGTTTCTTTCTAGCCATTCTTTAGGACAGGAGGATAGAGTGGGGCTGGGTAGGTGTCTCCACTATACAGAACAAACAATAAAATGAACCCAGTATTTTAAAAGAGTTTCAAATGTGGCCAATATAGCTAAAGTATAGAGAGGGCTCTATCTCCCTCATGTGGCAGAACTGCTATTACACAGCACTTAAAGTTCAAAAAATTCAAGTTAACTTAAGCACAATATTGTCCTTCTTCCGTGTTCTCAAGAAGGAGTGGTTCAGTTGATACGTGATAGCCACTGTAAGGTTCATCATCAAAAACTGACTGGCTGTTTTTAGCGCAAGTACCTCCAAGGCTTTCTAAAGCCCAACCCAAACAGGAAGCAGAAACAATCTAAATTAACATGCAGCTCATCCAAACTGGTATATAATTGGGACCAATAAGTATTGGCAAACAAACATTAGAACCGTTTGAAATTCAAATTCTTCCTTCTACCCAGGTCAAGCGATGCCTCCTTTGTGGGGCATCTGGACAGAACACAGAGCTTGTCCAGTGAAGGCTGACTACCAAAGGCTTGTTGAATTTTTCTGACCGGAGCAACTGACCTATCCATTTACTGGAGGGATTATGACTGGTAATGATGGGAGTCATTCAAGTGAAATCACACATATTTGAGGCATTCATGATACATTTGATGATATATTTTTTAAAAAATATTATGAAGGTATTATAGAGAAGAAAATACTGGGGGGGCAAGTCAGGAGACAAGTACTGATACTGGCTCTGCCAACTAACTGAATATCTAAAACTGTGCAACTCTGGGCAAGTTAATTAACATCTCTGGGCTTCAGTTTCTTCATTTGTAAAAGAGACCAAATGATTTCAAAAATCCAGTCCAACTCAAAATTCTTTAACTGATTTTTCTAAAATGATGAACCTCTATACCATCTGGTTCTGTTTCCTACTGTAAATCATACAATTATTAAGCGATTACTATGCACACAGCACAGCACCAGGTTCTGGTGGCAGATAAAAATAAAATGTAATTGCTGCCCCCATGGACTTTACAACCTAATAATGGGCTACAACAAATGCATAAATTATAATGCAAAATGATGCACAGGCATGGAAACTGCAAATTATATCCTATGTAAGGTCCAAGAAGAAGAGCAACAGAGGGAAGGGTGTGATTTATGAAAAAAGGCCTGGATACAGGACAGTATGAGACATATATGGGAGATGATAAGTAGTTCAGTTTGGGGGAATGAAACACACAGATAATGAAATAGTGTAAGATGAGGCTGGAAAGGTAGGGCATCTCCCATGATGGAAAAGGCTTTGAAGGCTAGGCTAAGGAGTTTGAACTTGATTGGGCAGGCAATAGGAAACCATCGAAGGGCTTTGAAAAGAGGAGAGACAGCTAATTTTCCCCATGTACAGATCAGTTCTATCATCAATATTGAAGGATGGTTTGAGGGAAAGAGGAACAGAACCGAGGTTACTGCAAATATTCAGATGTGATAATAACAGCTTCTGTGAAGTGAGAGGGAGTGGAAATAAAAGAGGACCATCTGAGAGATTATGGAGGTGGAACTGATACAACTTGACAAATGGCTCAATGTGTGGGAAAGGGAAAAGTCAAAATGGGGAGTGGGTTTTGAAGAAAAGATTAGAGGAGACAGCCTTCCCTTCAAGGACCACTTAAAATAGTAAAGGAGTCTAAAACTGCAGACAAACAACTGTCAGAAAAGTAAGATGATGGTAGCTGTCTAAGAGAGGTCTTCAGGCAGAGTTCTGTGAGAAACAGAAATCACTTCTAGCTGGGTCCAGGAGGGGAGCATCTATGGCCTTCAATAACAGACTATGTATTTTTATATCATAAATAACTGGTCATCATGAAATGTTTTCTGCTGCCCTTTTTTTTAATGTCAATGACTAAATTATGTCCATTATTATCATATGTCATTCACATTATGTCAATCATTAAATTAACATCTAATTATTGATTACCTGGCCAGGTCTAAGTCAAAATTATAGCTATTAAAAATGTTTTAAAAAAATAATTTCTATAGCACATATATACCTCTAATAAAAATTAGAATTCATTTATCAATCTTGATTCTATTAAGTCTTTAAAAAGCTATTTAAAACATTTCAAAATCAAGTATCTCAATTAAATTTTTCTACTCTTCTTTGATCTCCAATGGGCATAGTATAAACAAAAAAAAAAATCAGAAAATTTGCAAGTACAAATACTTACACTTTGTCTTGTCTGCCTCCACCACCACGAACTGCCACAGGTTGGCTATTCTGAGTAAACGCGCCTCCCCCACGAATTGCACTTGGATGAGTTGGAGAAGCAGCCGGATGCTGTCCAGGACGAATGGGCTTAGCTAAATAAAAGTAAAGAATGACTTTTGAACACCATTTATCACAATTTTTCAAGCAATTAAATCAGTATGATTTTTTCCCTCCCTCAGTATATATCACAACATATCCTTTTCTTAGGTGATCTTTGTGTCTTTATGAGTTCAGGCTAAAAAATATTGGAGTTCTACTACTATGTCAAAAAAGTGCCCTGAATTAAAACAAGAATCAGATAAGCTCTTCACATCTACCTACACACTATTTTAGATTTAAAAATAGGTTAATACTACCTCAAAATCGACAGGATCAACTTCAATATTTAAGCCCACACAGATGAAACTATAGTTCCTTGAAGTACTGAAGTAACATCAACTCACTTCTCCCCCTCTTTGTTTTTGTGACAAACAGACACAGACACATTATTGTGCCAACAAAATATGCCACAGCTCCTCTGTGGGGTCCTGCTGAGGCCTCTGGGTTTCCTGGGCTTGCACTCAAAGTCTCTTCGGCTTTTGCTTCAATGAACATGCAGATCTATATAAGGCTTTGGAGCTGGTGATGAGGGAGTCACCTTTTCTAGTCCACACCCTACCCCCTCCCTAAACTGGTTGTGCCCTCCTCCATATTTGTGTGTGTGTTTGTATGTAAGCATACGTATGTACACACGTACACAGACACGTACACGTATCTCGTTGGGGGCCCTTCTTGAGGGCCAGGAACATTTATTTTTTCCGTATTTCCAGTGACTAGCACATAGTAGGCATGTAATACTGTTTTACTGGTTGAATGATGAGAATATTTTAGAGGAGGAAAATACAAAATTTAGATCTTTCTCCTAATAATAGTGATTATAGGCAGGTTATTAACATGCGGACTTTTAATAATAAAAAAGCAACTAATCTTCTTTAGAGATTAGAACATAACTAAACACAATCTAAACTGTCTACTGCAGAGGTAACACTCCAGCATGCTGCACAAACCACATTAAAATATAATTGTGGGAAATACCTAACAAAATAAAAATAAAACAGAACATAGATTATGTGGTTTTCTAAGCCAATGTGCAGCCCACAGGGATCTTTATGTATGGTTTAGTGGCCGCATTTCTCTTTGGGATTGATTCCACTCCTACTTTCAGGCAGTTCGCCAAAGCTGTAAGACGGGTAATATAATGGAGTTCTTTAGAAGGCATTAAACAGATAGATAGATAGATAGATAGATAGATAGATAGATAGATAGATAGATAGACAGATAGATAGATAGATAAATAGACAGATAGATAGATAACTGAAAAAAAGCAAAATAAAAAATCCTGACCACTTTCTTTTACATCTGCAAGTTAAGCTGTGCTGAAACTAAGGCACTTTCACCCTCCCACCCCTTCCTGCCCACTCAATTCTTAGCTCCTAGTAATGTGGCTCTCACCCCTTTCAAAAATGTCCCCTCCTGACTATCAAATCCAATGTCCTGTTTTCACTGACCCTGGGAGCCTCCTCTATGAAATGCTCAGCTCTCCCAGCTTTGCAGGACAGTGCACAGCACTGGTTTCCTTCCTATTGCATTTTCTCTCTGCTGGGTCTTCTCCCTTTCCTGCACGTGAAACCTGGGCATGTTTCGCAGTTTGAACTGGACCCTCTTTTCCACACTCTCACATTTCATTTCCCTAAGACTAGAGACCATAAGGGAATGGTCTCTGTGTGGTGGGGTAGGATCCCTGTCACTTACAGAGTATTTGTGAGAGGATGGGAAGGGGAAGAGTAATTAGCCTCTATGTCTATCTCCAGGATATTCAGAAGGGCCACAAAAGGTTTTCACTTTTAATACCCACCCTTAACTCATGGAAGTTAATGTTTCGTTAGCACATACTTTCCAAATATGCTGCTTCTGAATAGCAGATTTATTTACATTATGATGTAGCTTAAATCTCAATTATTGAGCTTTTGTGAAAACAAAGCCTTAAGAACTCTTGGCATAAAAGAGGCCTGAAGAGGTGATAGACTAAACGCAGAATAAAACACACATTTTTGGACATGGCCAATATGGGAATTTGTTTCGACTGCCTATACTTATTTGTTAGAAGAATTTTGTTTTTGTTTTTTTCTTCCATTTGAGGGAGAAAAAATAAACTCGGGATATCATTAAGGAAGATTATGAATAAAAAATAGAATGACAGCTTGAAAGTTGTATTGGTAGCCTCCCCTATTATAAGACCTAAAGAAAAGCCCTCCACAAAGCTAGATGGATTCCCTATGGAGGAGTATGTAAGGACCTAGACAAAAATCACATGGTAGGAAAAGGCAGGGGTAGGTTTCGATCATGCTATTTTGAAAGGAATTTCTAAACTGATGAAATTAAAGGTCCAATCCACTGATTTATATATAAAGTCTGTTAGTGGAAAGCATTGCCAAAATTCACAAAGTAAAGCAATCATCAAATAAATTTATTTTTATTTTATTTCATTTAAATTGTTTTTAGAGAATTATTCCAAGAACCATTTAGCAACATGAACAGAATATTGATTTAGCCAATTCATAAAACAATATTTTTTTCATGCTGACAAGTCATTTAATTCCATAAGAGGATCATAGAGATATGAGAATGAAACGATCTTGCCTTGTTAGAGAGAGAGAGAGGGAGGGAGGGAGGGAGGGAGAGAGAGGGAGAGAGAGAGAGAGAGAGAGAGAGAGAGAGAGAGAGAGAGAGAGAGAGAGAGAGAGAGAGAGAGAACAGTTTTAGGAAAAAAAAACAAGCTCTTTCGCACGTTCTACTCACCAATCTGTGCAGAATGTCCCCTCCTGGCCATGTTCTTTGACCTGACAGCTTCCTTAATCCGATCGACTTCTTGCTGATACCGTTTACGATCCCGAGAGGCATTTTCTTTGGCTTCTTTCAGAGCCGACTCCAAAGCTTTAACTCTCTCAGCTGTAGCTCTAAGTCGTTTTTCCAATTTTGGAAGCTCACAGCGAAGATCTGCATTATCACGTACCAACTGAGGGTAAGTCAAAGCAAATGATTTACTCTTCAGAATATGAACCACATTTACTTAAAAGGTAAACATCTATTTTCTGGCATTTTTGCTTTTAACACATACAACCTGCTCCAGCTCTTCCTCCAGAGGAAGGGGAAACGGGCATGGGCACAGTTGAAGACATACATTTCTCCCAAAGCAGCTGCAGGTGGAGGAGGAAGGGCCCTTTGGCTGTGAGGTCTGAAGAGCTGAGCCGAAACCCCAGATCTACCACTTACTGGTGACTTTTTCTCAGTTAGCTGAACTCAAATACTCATTTATCCCCAATATAAAACATACAGAGAGGAAGTGTGGCAAAGTGGACAGAAAGCCAGCCTTGGCTGATGCCTGGACAAATCCTGTGGTCACCCTGGCCAGGTTCCTTAACCTCTCGGGGCTTGAGGCAGGTGCAGCTTGGCAATGGAAGGGAGAACTTCCTCACTGGGCATTCTCCACACCAATGAAATTACAGGTCAGGTTTAAAAGAAAAAAACTAGCAAAAATGATCTCAAGTGACACAACTCTTAGCTATACAAATTATGTTGTGTTATTAAACTAACGCTATCTCATTCAGTTCACACTTTCAACTTTTGTGCACATCTTGGTAAAACTGGAAAGATTTATTGATGAGGGAACTAGGGGTTTGGGGCAGGGGAAGGGAAACTGAGAATGGAGGACCCATCAGTGCTTACTAAACTTCAAGAACCTGCAGAGGCTATACAATTACACGGTTTCACTAGCCTGCCCTCAGGGAGGGAGACTCCTAACAAAAGATCACTATCCATTAGCCTCCTCTCCCCTCCTCAAATCCTCTCAAGTTCTTGGGAGTTTGTTTATATGCTGTAGTTAACAGAAAAAAACTCAGGGCCTGAAAATATGTCTCATGGAATTCCTGACCACAGGGACTGGAAAGCCTCTGAATGACAGACAAAATAATAAAAGCCTTCCAAGTAACTGGCATTTCTACAAGTCATTCTATCTCCACTTCATTACCTGTTTGTGCACTTTAGTGAGCTGCTCAAGATTATTCTCAAGAAAGGAGATCTTCTGCTTTTGGGCAGCACTACCTCCAGTGTCATCAGAATCAATCTCTGCACTCTGAGAACAAAGAGATAATGAATCACTTCAATATTTAAACATATAAAATTATTTAAGAAAACTAAGGTAAACTAAAGGTATAAGAATGAAATTTATACATAAAATTAAATGGCCATTACAAGAATTTCAAGGATGTTAAATTACCTTTTTAACTCTTGTGGCTAGGTCTTGAACAAAGAGCTTCCGAAGGTTGTGTAAAGTCTGAAGTTCTTTTGCCTTGAATGAAAAACATTTTTACAACTTAATATTTCATATTTTGGAGAAATGTAAAATCCCAAACTGCAAATTATCTTACCACTGTCTCTTCTAAACCCTTCAGGTCTTGCCTTGCTTGTTCTCGCCTGTCTTGCATGACACTAAAAATAAGGAATAAAAAATATGTACATATAGATTGTGCATGGAAACACACCAATTTTATCTTCTGGTTCAGTAAAACCTGGCTTTTATGTAATAGGGAAAGAGGAAAAAAAATCTTTCATTCAATAGAAGCTAGATTGTTAGAGTGAATAAGAAATTTTAGTTGAAAATCCTACATTTTAACAATATAATTTGTTTGATGTTCAAGACTCTTACTTATGGGATACACAGAACACTATTTCCAAAGCAAAGTGAAATGCTTCAATGGTGCAAAGAGGTAAAATTATTTGTTTGAAGTGTGCACAAAAAGACAACAACTGGTACTGATTTAAGTGTTCTTGAATCAAAATGATGGTTGTGGAATGAGGTGGTTAACTGGGAGGTAAGCAGATACTAAATTATCAGAGAATTAGAATATGATAAACCATTATTTTGCACTAAAACCACACTAAACATAAACTGAAGTTTCTTTTGATGAATCAGAAAGAACTCCAGGATCTTAGGTGCCTTAGGGTATTTATTGTGACTAGTCATGGTTGCATAGTAGCACAGACACATGAGATGTGGGTGACTGGGGCTGGGTCTGTCATTATGATATACTCTAGAAGTTGCTTTTAAAATAAATCTCTGATATCAGCTAGTCTGTTCTCTTACAAGACAGAGAAGCAAGAAAACTGTAGGGTTAGTTATGTGAGCTTTCTAGATCACAAACTGTTAGTTCCAAAGGAACCTAGCTGACTTCAGAATAATCAAGCCTTTACTATACTTGCTAGCTAGTGAGTTGTTAAATAAACAGAAACAATCTCTCCTTAATGATTCACAACTGGTAGCAGTCAGCTAAAACAATGGCATCAGCAGGCAAGTGGGGCAGATCCAGCTTGCTCATTAGTTGTAGGCATTAGAGACAAGTTCCAGCCACCTGCAGTCAGGTGACCCTCATTTTGCCTGCAGCCTTATGTTGGGCCCAGGTTCTCCTCATTACTCCAATTCAGTCTCCTATTTTAGATTTTGCCACAATTCTCACTCACGTAAGTTCATGTAGTTTCCTGCTTTTTTCTTGGTCTGTAGCTTTCAACTTCTCATGTTCAACTCTCAGGCGTTCCTGCTCTAGCATCATTTTCTGATTCTGACTATTGAAAGAAAAAAAGACAGAAGTAATGTTAGCTTTATAAAATGTGTCAAAATACACTTAGAAAAGCGTTAAGACTTTTCAAAGTTTCAGTTTTCACAGTCAAGCTTTTCCTAATATCTAAACTAAGATTTCTCTTTTACTACATAGCTCCATATTAAAAAAAAAGTCAAGTATTATCATTCACACAAGTTATCTTTTTTGACACACTGACTTGCATAAACGATAATATGTAAGGACAATAGGTTCTATGTATTTTACTTTTGCTTGTTTGCAATTTCAAATAATTTTTTTTACTTCTATTGTCCCAGGATTTTTCTTAAAACTTTTAAAAAAAGAAAAGTGAGCAAATTCCACCACTCCATTTTAAAATGAAAAATAACTTAAAGGTTCCAAATTTTTCACTAGAGCTTATGATGTTTCAATCACAAATGTGTATTTTTCAGGAAAATATCCTACCTGCAGTTTTGATTTCTGCATTTGTGTAATGCTCCAAAATTCAAAGAAAATGTTACAGATATCTGTATCTATCTAAGTTTATTTATATAAGACTATCCTACTTTTCCCCACTGAATCTCTCCCAAATACACTTTTGTTGAAATTAAATTGTAAATGTATAAGCAAATGTATTAAAATAAAAAATTAAACACTTACTCTTGAAGATCAGTAATAAGCTTTTCTTTCGCATCAACTTCATCTCTCAGACTACTAATTTGTTTTTGATGAGTTTCTCTATGGCTTTGTATCTGTTGTTCAACAGCTTGCTAAAACAGTTTATTTGAAACAAACAAACGAAAAAGGTCAAAAACGAACACTGACGTATTAAAAATTAAGATGATGACATAAAAATTAACTTACCTTAACTTCATTTGCAGTCTGAACCTTATTTAGATGCTCTTTTTCCATTTCGTGGACTTTTTCTGGGCAGGGAAAAGGAAAAGAACAGCAAATTTCTAATACAGATTATAGAAAATATGGCCCATTTCTCTGCAGAAATAATTGTCAACCCCCAAACCCTTTCAATTATTCACATTCTAAATGGCAAATCTTGCCTCAGAGTCATTAGTAGTTAGTAAAACCACAACCTTTGTCAACACATTGAATTCCTAAATTATTACTGTTACTTCATATACAAAGTCCCTTGAAATTCAAACACTTAGTTCCCTTTCGGCTCCTGGGAAGGCTGAGAGGGGACAGCTCTGAGAATTATTTATTCCTAGAATGCAGCAGTAGGCCTTGGGTACAGATGTGACAGGAAGACTCTATAGGGAAACTGGACAGTTTACAATTCCTTATGACCCAGGTCCTCAATGTGACTTCATTATTATGCACGAAGTAGCTTCCCAGATTAGTCATATACCCATTAAAATGTAATTTCAAAAAACCAAGTCCCCATCTCTACTACCTTTCATTAGTGCAAATAAAAGTTAGCTGAAAGGAAGAATTAACATGGATGATTTCTGAAAGGCTGGTAATACAAAAATCAAAATCGCTAACTTGGCTTTGCTTAGGCAGTGAAGACAAAGGCAGTTCAAGACTGGCTAAGGCAATATTCAAAGGTGACTTAAAAGGATGCTGAGCAATGAAATTTCTGGGGTTCCAGTTTGTTAGTATGAAGGGAATAGCCCCCAAATACACATATATAATTCAAAAGTCAAGAAATATATCCACCGGAAAATAAGGAATTAACATACCTTGTGCTCGAAGCTGGACTAGTTCTTCATTAAGGGAGTCCACAGATTCTTCCAACTGCCTTTTCTTTTGCTCAACGTTCTGAAGGTATTCAGTCAATGACTTGATTTTTGCTTCATGCTTTCAAAGAAAAAATATATTTGGAGTGATTTGAAGTGGGGAAAAAAATCTCAACTACTTTAGTGGCAAAAGAATCTTATAAATAAAAGACATCTTATAAAAAAATCAGAGTCCAGGCAATTAACGTTTTCAAATACATGATAAAATAATGAGACATACATTTTTGGACATGGCCAGTGAGGGAATTTGTTTTGCTAGGCTATTAGTATTTGTTGTTGAGGGCTTTCTTTTCTTTTCTTCTTTTTGATTGTTCATTGCAGGCAGGAGTAGCAAGAGGTAATAAAAACTTTTAAAAATAAATACATTTTAAAGAAAACATATATATGGCAAACTACCAAGTCCCAGATTTAAAATCTTTAAGAACTTAGCCAATGTGCCAACTGGAAAACAGTAGTCTTGAAGGGAGGGCAATGACAGTGGTGTTACTATGCTTTCCCCCATTTAACTTTACTCCATATAATTTTTCTGTATGGCTTATGCATTCTAATATTCCTGAGAAGTCACCCTACATTAGAGCATAATTTCCTGACAATGGTTCCACATCACTGGTTGTTAATTTTACTAGTTTACTATGATCCTCAAGACCCTTTCTTACCCCTAAGCATTCTGTTTAAGAAGAACAAGTAAATGGACACATTAAGGATTTTAGGTATTGGGGGCAGCTAGGTGGCACAGTGGATAGAGCATCGGCCCTGGATTCAGGAGGACCTGATTCAAATCCGGCCTCAGACACATGACACTTACTAGCTGTGTGACCCTGGGCAAGTCACTTAAAACCCCCTTGCCTAACCCACCCCCCCCACCAAAAAAAGATTTTAGGTATTGTTTGCAGCAGGTTCGCATCTCAATATTTACTGAAGCAACTATTTCAAACCTTCTTCACATACCTCCATTCCCTTCCTCAATATCTCTTGTCCCTGCCACTTGTTTTACTGAAAAGGCTACCAACTTTGAAGCTTTGAATCCTCTTTCTCCTTCCTTCCTGTTTCAGAAGATGAGGTTGTCCTTCTTGCCAAGCTGTCCCTCCATGTGCGTCCTTGCTCCTTCTAGTCATCCCTTCTGCTTTTCCCATCTTCAACCTGTCCCCTTTTAGTACTGCTGCATCAGAATGACAGAACAACTCCAGAGCTGGAAACTCCGTGGCAATCTAATGCAAGCCCTCTACAGTCTGCTGCAGTGTACATACAGTCTCTACTACGGGCAAGTCTCCTTCTGCACCGATGCATTACCAGGAAGCTCTTCCTGACATCAAACTTACACGTGCCTCTGCATCTTCCACCTGCTGCTCCTAGCGCTGACCTCTGGGCCAAGCAGAACAAGGCCAAGCCTTTTCCAGACAGACGCTCTTCAACAGAAGGCATAACCTGCTCTCCCCTCCCTGCCAGCCTCTTCTGCTTCAGGGCAAACACTGCCAGGTGCTTCAAATGATCCTAATATGGCATGACTGCCTTTCTCTAAATGTTACTCAGTTTATCAACGCCATTTCTGTACTGTGGCACCTGGAACTGAATGTGCCATTCCAGATGTGACCAGCCCATAATTAAGTGGTTTTCTTATCTGTAGTTGTATATTTTTCTTAATAAAGAACATATTTTTCTTAATGTAAGTATATATTACTTATATGTATATGTACACACACACACACACACGTTTCTTAATAAAGAACAGACTGGCTTTTACAGTTACCATGTCACAATGCTGAAGCACACCGAGGCTGTTGTTCACTAAAACCCCCAATTTTATTGATGGACTGTTGTCTAGCCAGCCCTTGTTATCTTGCACTTGTGAAGTTGATTTTTTCAACAAATGTAAATCTTTACACTTACTTATCACATTTCATCTTATTCAATTTAGCCTGTCAAAATCTTTTTCAATCTCAGTCATTCCTCTTATCTTCGTATCAGCTGCAAATTTGATAAACATGTCATACATGCCAATATCCAAGTCATTGATTAAAATGGTAAAAAGCACAGAGCCAAGCACAAAATCCTGAGTCCTCCCACTGGAGATCTCCTTCCAAACTGACAGCAAACCAGGAACCATTACTGATTAACTGTTCTGACTGAATATTTAGAACCAGTTTTGTATCCTCCTAATTGTATTTCCATTTCACTTTTATTTCCCATATTTTCCACAACAATAGCATTCTCCTAATTTCTGAAAGCAGGGACATTGGCCCGTGTCAAATCCTCATCTTTGACCTTTCCAGGATCACTCTAAGCAGCCCAGCAACCCCATCTGCAGTTCTTTCAGTTCCTGAAGGTGTTCATTTTGGTCAGATGAATATTAAGGGTATCTTGCTGCTCTATTTCTTACTGATAGTATCTTGGGCTTCAGCTCCGTATTAGCCATTTTTTCTTTTACATTTCTAAGTTTGTTCTCATTAGCAAAGAAAATAAAATACAAATGGAGCCACTTTGACTCTTCTGTCATCAATTATCACTCCATTCTCCCCAAGCAGCAGCCCTACCCCCTTCTTTAAGTCTTTTTTCCCTGAATGCAGCTAAAGAGCGCTTTTTGTTTTTAGCCCCCCAGCCTTGGCTTCTTCTGAGCTTGAGCCCTCCTTAGAGGATTTCTGCACAATCCCTCCCAAACTTTTGCATTCATCCCATTAGCTGCTTTTCCTTCCCTCTTTCAATGTCTTTAAAACTCTAAACTGATTGGTGAGTTCCTGTGCATATGCTGATTATCAGCACTGTTTCTTTTTTCATTATCTTCATAATTTGATTGTTGAGAGTGTCTTATCCCTTCTGGGCTAACTTTACTTTAGAATTGTACAAACCTCAATGGCATTCTACTGATACCCAGAAAAGAGAACTTTTTTATCACAGGATCCTAACCATCCTTCCTTTTAAGATCTCTCCCCCAAAGTCAGGATTCATCACATGACTCTATCTTCTTAACATGCAATGCTATTCCACCCACACCAACCTCAATTCTTTCTTGTATGCCCTTTCAGAGGCGCATTCCAGTCCTCAGTGTCACTCTATTCAGTTCCAGTGATACTGATGAGGTCACACACAGCCTGCTGGCACTAGAAAATCTAGGGCTGTCGTTTTTGCTTTGAACTTGTACTCTGGACATTTGTATACATATAAATCTGATGTCATGGATTTCATCACTAACTCCTAGGATATTTTTTTCTAGATGGATTAAGAGACTGACGCCTTAGGAGACAACCATATCTTAGAGAGTGAGAGGAAGAAAAAGAGTCAAAAGACAAAGAATGATCTGAGAATTATAAGAACTCAAGACAATGCTGGTCTCCATTTGGATTGTTCTATAATCCCCTCAAACTCAAGATATCTAAAGCTGAACTCATATTTTCTTGTTAAGACTCAGCCCTTCTGTTATTTGTGAGGATCAAATTCTCAAGACTAATCTTTTGACGCCTGCTCTTCTTGGATTCCTCAGATCCAATGAACTGGCAGGTTCTGCTGACTTTATTCCAACAATCTCTCTCATACCTGCCTGGTCCTTTCTAGCCCTACCATGGCTCAGGCTCACCTAACAGATTTTGGGCTGGTTCAGACCTTAAAGACTATCCAGTCTAACACTTTAGTTTGACAGAGGAGAAAAATGAGGCCCAAAGAGATCAACTAACTTACCCAAAGTCACACAGTAAGTGGCAGGAGCACAATTTGAACCCAGGTCTTGTGACTCCAAATCCAACACTACATTATACTACAATGACTCTTGTAACAGATTCTTCTCCTTTTTTGACCCCTTCCAGTTCATAGTTTTATTCAAAGTTTAATTTCTTAGTACCAGAAGATAACGGTACTTAGGTTACTTTAGTCAACTTAAGTTGGCAATGATGAGTCAGAACAGAAATTCTTCAATTAATCGGGTTGCTAGGAATAACAGAAGACTTCATCTAATATTTATACAATGTTATGAAATAAAGCATAAGTACATTAGATATACTGTGGTTCTTTGGTGTATCTTGAAAGGGAAATTTTTCTGTAACATGTCAGGGAAATTTTAATTAGCTACAGCTATAGTGGAAGGTATATATACTGTATATATACTGTACTGATTAACTATATACCCTTTCAACACTATACATGGTGTCCCAAAATTCTTAACGTAGTTCAGTTTTAGCCTTTAAAATGCACTAAGACTTTAGGACATGCTGTATGTCAGTTTAGATTCATTAACCTACCACTAAGACTCAACTGCCCCAACTACCATAGAATTAGTAGATTAAATTGCTGCTTACTTGAATCTTACAGGGAGACAATACTTGTTTTCTTTTGATACGAGGACATTTTGACCATGACACATCCCATTTACATTCCTTTAAAGACAAAGCTCTAAACTAACAGGGTGCTGTTTCTTGCCAACAGCAATCTTTATTTAAAAGCTCTAGATCAAGAGAAGCACGAAAAGGTAAACAGGAAAGAGAAATCATAAGGGACTTATTAAAGTTGAACTGTTTACATTCCTACATGGAAAGATGATATTTGTAACTCATGAGACCTTTCTCAGTATTAGAGTAGTTGCAGAGAATATATACACACACATACACACACACACACACACACACACACACACATACACAGACAGACAGACAGACAGAGGGCAAAGGGTGAGTTGAATATGAAGGGATGATACCTAAAAAACAAATTTAAGGGGTGAGAGAAGATTGTACTGGGAGAAGGACAAAGGGAGAGGTACAATGGGGCAAATTATCTCACATAAAAGAGACAAGAAAAAGCTTTTTACAGGGGAAGAGGTGAGGGGGAATGAGTGAATCTTACTCTCATCCGAATTGGCTCAGAAAGGGAATAAAATACACACTCAATTGGGAATGGAAATCCATGTTATCTTACAGGAAAATACAGGGGAAGGGGATAAGAGAGGGGGGAAATGATAGAAGGGTGGGCCAGTTGGGGGACGGGGTAATCAGAAACAAATATTTTTGAGGAGGGACAGGGTCAAAGGAGACAATCGAATAAACGGCCCCCACATTTCTTTCACAACTGACAAGTATGGAAGTGTTTTGCATGACAACACATGTGCAACCTATATCAAACTGCTGGCCTTCTCAATGAGGGTAGGTGGGGAGGGAGGAAGGGAGAGAATCTGGAACTCAAAAGTTTTAAAAAAAACGAATGTTAAAAATTGTTTTCACGGGGCAGCTAGGTTGCACAGTGGATAGAGCACTGGTCCTGGAGTCAGGAGGACCTGAGCTCAAATCCAGTCTCAGACCAGACCCTTGACACTTACCTACCTGCGTGACCCAGGGCGAGTCACTTAACCTCAACTGCCTCACATGAAAGCAAATAAATAAACTGTTTTTACAAGCAACTGGGAAATAAGACATATAGGCAATGGGGTATAGAAATCTTTCCTGCCCTACAGGAAAACAGAAGGGGAGGTGGATAAGAGAAGGGAGGGCAGATTGGGGGAAAGGGATATTCAGAATGCTTGCTGTCTTGGGGTTGGGGGAGGGGAGAGATGGGGAGAAAATCTGGAATTCAAAATCTTGTGGAAGTTAATGTTCAAAACTAAAAATAAATTAATTAATTTTAAAAAAGAGCTGATTAAAAACAAAAAATAAAAGCTCTAGAGCAGGGGTGGGGAACCTGTAGCCTCAAGGCCATATGTGGCCTTTTAACTGAATCCAAAGTTCACAGAACAAATTTTCTCAAAGGGGGCTGAGGGACTAGAGATTGACATAAAAACCATTCTGTATCAAACCTTGTATACCACATCATTTGTTCTCTAGGATAATATTGAAGATCACGTAAATTTAACAGGTCTGTTTACACATTTTGTAGAATTTCATAAACAAATTTAAATACAAAAATATGCCAAATAAAATTTAGAATTATTGTATTGTATTAAGTTGTATAAGGCTTAATAAAGCTGTTTATACTACTTCAAAGACTAGCAACCCTGACTGTATACTGAAGTGCATCATACTATTTTTTTCTGAAGTTGATCTGTTTTAATGTGAAATTGCATCACAATTAAAATCACATTTAAGACTGCATGATATCCATTAAAGGCGATCACACTTTGCCTTCAATACAACCTAAAATCAGTCTAGTGATCCAAATACTACTGGATCAGTATTAAGTGTCAATTCATAGGGGCAGCTAGGTGGCGCAGTGGATAGAGCACCGGCCCTGAAGTCAGGAGGACCTGAGTTCAAATGTGGCCTCGGACCCAACATTTGACACTTACTAGCTGTATGACCTTGGGCAAGTCACTTAACCCCAATTGCCTAAAAGCCAAAAAAAAAAAATCATAGTATAGTCTCCCACCTTTGTCACTCTACATTAAAATTTCACATTTGTGTTTTAGTTTTAACAAACATGCTTCAAAGAAAATAATAATTTAGGAAATATTTCCAACTACAATAAAATAAATTTCCAACTACAGCCTATTTCCTCTTCAAGTATGAAAGTATCAATGCTAATATAGTTATGTTTCAGGCCTCACAGCTTAAATCCATTCTTATATTGGCACCCAGAGCTCTGATATGAAATAAACCAAAATAGTTGAATACTTATTCACTTTAAGAGTCCTATGAAGATAGCTTCAGGGATTGTTGGAAGATAGGTTATTTTATAATAACTATGTTTCAGGTGACACGCAGTATGCCTAAACACAGTCTATTTTCAACTTCTCAACATTTGGTTTAGAACACGTGTTTCTGTGCCAGAAGGCCAGACCTTTGCAATTTATCTTGGAGTGTTCCTGAAGTCATTCTACTTCTTTTGTAAATTTTATAGACAATTTCAACACAGAAGGTTTTGCTTTAGAAAATATAATCCTACAGTGACATACCATTAACAAAACTTCCAGTTTCTTGAAACTCAGTTTCTTTCTCCTTTCAAATGGTTCTTCTCATGAATGAATAAATAATACAAGTTGTAGAAACTGAAAGGCAATAATGGCTTTGACTTTCTAACACACCTTCTTGAATACATTTTTTTCCATTCTCATCAGGTCAAAAGCTGAATTTATACTGGCTAATTTAGATCAAAGCAGAGGCCAATGGAACATTTCTCTCCTCTTCTGATGATTTCACAGACTGACAGAAGGAACTTAATCCTGCACATTCAAGACACATGGGGCAGACAGAAACCTGTCCTGTAAATTCAAAGCTAGGGAAAAATGTCAAAGGCAAAATACTAAGGCTCAGAAGTAAAAAAGTCTTTCACTTTTAAATTCCTCAGTTTTACATTCACCCAAAGGCCACAATTATGTGCAAACTCAATCAGGTTCAAGCCACAGGCCCTTGCTGGCGTCTGTACTACTATTCCAACAAAACATTCAGCTGGCTGCAGCAGTTTCTGAATTTCAGTTGTTACTCTATTCCCTCACCTTGTGCTCCCTACCTTGGGCCTGTCCTCACCTGAACCCCAAGAAATTAGTTAATGGAAAGTCCATGGGAGAAAAGAGAGGGTGGGAGGAAATAGAAGATGGAGGGGCAGTGGGAGATATCTGGGCTGCATCCAGTCCACTGAGCTTCTTAAGTAGATCTTCCTGCCTCCAATCTCTGTTGTCAAATTCTCTTCACACTGTTCTTAAAGTAATTTCCTGATGAACGACAGTGATCACACAAACTTGTCTGCTCGCTTAGTGGTTCCCATTCCTTAACAAAATATAAGCTCCTAAGTTTGGCATCTGAGACCATTCACAACGTGATTCTCGCCTGCCCTTCAGTTTCCTTGCACTCCACTCTCATCCATGTAATCTCTTCTCAGTCAAACCACGTTGTTGGCCTTTCACCTATCCCCCCCAACACGTTCCCATCCGCATCATCAAACAAGGAATGGTCTCCCCTCACATTTTCAAACACTGTCAAGGTCCAACTTAAGTTCATCTTCTCTATGAAACCCCTCCTGACTCTCCCAGCACCAAGTTTTCATTCCCTTCTCAAATCTCTCCTACCCCACTGCCTGACTTTCTTGCATTTGTTTTTCAGCTCACATTTGTTATTCATCTCATTCCCACCTCTCACCCTCAAAACCAGACACTGTTTATCTTCTGAGTCCCCAGAGTGCCTAGCATTGGTTTACTGCACATAAGTGTCTGAGGGATGAAGTGAATTGAAATGAATTCCTGAAGAATGTGCTAAGTGGTCTCATTTCAATCACTCTTCATTCTCCAGAACGGATGAATGGGTATACAACCAGGATTCCTAGATCTTACTCTTAGTAGCCTTTTCTTTTCGGAAGTGAAAAATTCTCTAGGGAGGATGAATTATATTGAGTGAGAGGTGTAACCTACTCAGAACTGTCATAATACTTTGTAATGTCACACTGAGAAAACAAAAATCAATATTCTCTCTGAATTAATCCCAATGTGTTTCACTTCAGTTAAACTACGGAAATTTGTTTTTCCAAAAGTATTTCCCAACAAAGCTGGTTTGAAATTAAAACTATAAAGACATTTCAATAACGAACTCTAAGTTACATGGTAGAATATGTACCTGTGATATACGAAGCTGACATGCTGCTAATTCTTTTTCATTTTCTTCCATTTTTTTGTTGCTCTCAGCTTGGGTGCTTTCTAACTGTTTGCAGCGTTTTACCATTGTTTTCACTTCTGACTTCATTTTACTAATGTACAGTCTTGCAACGGTGAATTCTTCATCTATCATGCCAGTTCCTTCAGGCTGCTGAGAAGAAAAATCAAACTCATGTAAACATTGGAAGTACAAAATATTTTTGTGGAAGATTAGAATCCAAAATAGTCAACGAAGTTAATATTTGCAAAATTTGCAAAATTTATGTGACATTTACTTAAATTCTGTTCATATCTGGGCTCAGCTTATTCCTCTGAACTTCAAAGAATCCCAACCTGGGGTGTGACTGCTAAGTTTTTTGTTTTGTTTGGAGAAGGCAAGAGATTGGAGACAGTATTGCTATGAAATATATTAGAAATTGTTGGATAATCCATACACACACACACACACACATACTGTTTCCATTCTGTCATTATGAATTTTCTCAAAGGAGAGTATTACCAGAATGTAGAGGTCTATGAAATCTGACATTAAAAAGGGGTTCTCATACTTGAAAAGGAAGGAAATTACTTGCCTAAACTATAACCTGCTTGAATTTTCCTTCCCCTAGTTTCCACTACTTAAAATACAATATTATACAATATGTGAATATAGACTAAGAAAAAGACCTGACAGGCCTAAAAAAACACAATTCTGCCTCTTAAATTTTTTTCATGAGTAAAATTTTCAATAACCATAGTAATTTCAGCTGTAATAACATACCTAGACTATTAATGAATTAACACTAAGAGGAAGTTTAGGTTGCTATGAGAACACCACTAAGAATATTAAGAAAGAACTGTGTCTAAGCCATATCACTTCATTCTTCTTGTGTAAGAAGAGTACAGGGCAAAGCACAGAGAGGCTCAGTAATTGTCTACTAAAAGAGCATTATGTTATATTAGATTTTCTCAACTGAAGTTAATTTTTGTGTTCCAAGCACCAGACTCCAGGGTTAAGGATGGGAAATTGTGCTGGACAGTGTTTTAGCTTGCCAAAATCAGATTTCCTTGTCACATTAATAAACTTTTGATCACTTCTAAGATTATAAGACGGTTTTTAGATCCTATTACTTTTGGTAAAATGTGGCGTAACTCCAACAGCTGACATCAACTCATGTAGGCAAGGTTGTGGTGTTTACTTTGAAGCACACACCCTCTTAAATGTATGTAACTCAGTATGAAGACTTACTTTAATGCTTCTCAGGATCTAGAGAAGGGGTTCTTAACCTAAGATCTACAGAACCCTGAGGGGTCTTTGGACAGATTTTAGAGTGTCTGTGAACTTGATGGGAAAAAAAAATCATCTTTATTTCAAAATAGTTGGTTGGTTTTTTGCATATTATTTTATTTTATGCATTTAAAATATGTTTCCAAGAAAAGGTCCATAGCTTTTTCCAGACTAAAAGGGGTCCGTGACACAACCCTGGTCTAGAGAGGTATGTTGACAAAAATTAAGATCCTTGATTTGGGTGATGATTTTGAGGAAATACTAACTTTTCTATGCTTTTTTGGGTACTTTTTATTCACAGATAGTTACTTAATGTTCCTTCATTCAGCCAATATTTATTAAGCACCACCACTATCTGTACAGAAATCACAGGGCCTATTCTAGGAGAGTTTACGATCTAGTAGAAACTAATAAACAAGCCAGCTATCTGGGGATCAGATAAGCCATTCTTTCTTAAGATCCTTTCCAACTCTAAAATGTATGACTTCATGTCACAACTAAAAATGAGCTCTACAGAGAATTTTTATTTTCTCACAGATGAAAACATAAGGCTCTCAATGTGAAGACCATGGGTTTGAGTCCAATGGTGGGCATTTCTGTTGGGAAAGCAATGTAGAAAGAGTATTGGAACTGGGACAGAAGGACCTAGTTCAAATTTTGACTTTGATACTAACTGCATGAGCCTAGGAGCCAGCCTGGTGAAAGAATAGTGGCAGCTGGGTCTGAGAACTTGGGCATAAATATCAATCCTGCCACTTATAATTGTGTGGCCTTTGGAAAGTCATTCAACCCCCTTGGGACTCAGACTCTTCATTGAGAAAATAAAGGCATTGGGTGAGTTGACTGCCACTGCCACATCCTTCTCTAAGCCATGAGCCAATGTGGGTCTGATTTTTTATCTGTAAAATGAGGAGGTTATGACAGATGTTAAAGTTTCTTCTAGTTCTAAACCCTATGATCAAAATAACTGCCCAACCATTAAACAGGAACTGTGAAAATACACCCCAAACTGGATCAGAGTGGGGCCAATGGAGAGGGTAGCCTGAGAGTCACTGGGATCTAGGCTCAAACCCCATCTGACATTCATTAGCGGCCCCCCCCATCCCCGGGCTCCTCAGGCAACTCTCCACTTAGTACTTATCTGCCTTGTGACAGATTCTGGCCTTCTGCTTTGGTGGACAGATAGCCCACTCTAGAAACTCTGCTGTGATAACATTAAAGATCCCTTGCATATTCACTTATCTGGAAGGCTTTTCAAGGCTACATACTATCACAGTGAAAAAAAAAAAGTAGATCAGTGTCAAGTGACCTGGATTCTAGTTTCATGTGTGAAATGTGTGTGACTATTGGTGAGTCAGTGGGACCACTACCCATAATTTTTCAAGTTATCTTTTCAACATATATACTTTAACTTAAAACAAGAAATCTGCTAAAAATGAAAATGTGATTCTCAAATTTAGGAATCTTATCCAACAATGAGCACTTTCTAAATCATGCGGTCTTCAACTTTTTTTTATTCTCCAGTAAGATTCCTACACCCTCTGAAATCCCACCTCTACCATAAAAAGGCCAAAATTTTCAGGTTATTGAAAAGGGAAGAGTAATGATAGCCAAGTAAATACTGATCAGCAATCTCTTTTCCTTTGAATCTGCCTGGTAGTTAAATCTTATCAGTCTCCTCTGACTGGAGAGGCCTAGGCCATGGGCTCCAGGGCCCTCTATTTAAGAAGGTGACTCAGTACCATTTTTCTCCATATTTCTCACCAGCTACAACGCTCTGAGACTTCTTTGGAGCTCTCCAATGGGTACCTCCTCATTAGGCACCTTCTTCCTTCCTCCCCTTCTCAGCTTCCTTATGTGTATTGTCTTCCCCCAATAGATTGTATGCCTCTTGAGGGTAAGGTCTAGTTTGTTTTTATTTGTATTTGTATGCCCAGCAATGAACACAGTGCACAGTAATTTGGCTTCCAGCTTCAAGATAACTGTGTCAGAACTTTCTGAGCAATCAAAATTTGAGAAACAAGTTAACAGAGATAAGGTAAAAGCTTATTTTCATTCCTACTTCTGGTAGTCTTAATAATATACTGTTTGCAGCCCTTAACTGATAAATGGTCAAAGGATAAAGGATGTAACAGATAATCCTAAAAAGAAAAATTCAATCTATCTATAGCCATATGAAAAAATGCTGCAGATCACGAATAATTAGAGAAATGCAAATTAAAAGAACTCTGAGGTTCCACTTCATATCCATTAGATTAGCAGATCTGACCAAAAGAAAAAACAACAAATGCTGGAGGGACTGCTGAAACACAGGGACATTAACTGACGGAGGTATGAACTAGTCCATCCATTATGGAATGGCTTGCTAACTATGTCCCAAGTTACTAAACTGTAAAAATACCCTTTGACCCAGTGACACTGCTACTAGTTCTATACCCCAGGAGCATCAAAGAAAAAGGAAATAGTCCTAGATATTTTTTAGTATCTCATTTTGTAGTGGCAAAAAAGTGGAAACTAAGGGATGTCCATCAATTAGGGAATGGCTGAACTAATTATGGCATATGAATGTAATGGAATACTATAGGGGTATAAGAAACAAAGAGGTAGTTTCACAGAAACCTGGGAAGACCTGTAGGAAATGATACAGAGCCAAGTAAGCAGAACCAGGAAAACAACTTATAGTATAACATCAATATTGTAAAAAAATTCTGAAAGACTTAACTCTGATCAATGATCAACCATGATTCCTGAGGACTAATGATGAAAATTGTTGCCCACCTCATGAAAAGGAGGTGATGGATGAATACTGGAAATGACCCATGTGAGAGTCTGTTTGCTTTACTATATGTATGTTATAAGGGTTTTGTTATTACTATATTTCTTTTTCCAATGTGAGGGTGAGGTGAGATGGAGAAAAAATAAATGCTAGCTTAATTCAATAAAAATTTTAAAAATAATGAAATGGAGTATTGCACAACAATTGTGTAAAATTTTTCCCATGAAGTTTCCCAATGGGAATGGAGTGTATAAACTGAGCTTATTTTGGAATTTAAGTTGGATGACCACTCGTTGGGAATGCAGTAGAAATGCTTCAGTCCAGAAATGCTCTCTATAAAAAATGACTCTGGTCCTGAGTTAAAATTGAGAGAGGTCTTCTAATGATAAGCTGGATTTTAACTAAGAGGCAAAGTCTAAACCCATCACTTACTGCAGCATCCAAATTCTTCTTGCCCCGAGTTTACGTTATTTGCTGTGAGATGGACTCATTTTCAGCCTTTGCGGCCCCTTCCCCCACTTAATATGCCACTAAAATTTTACACGAGTTTTAGTAGTGACAACATATGCAATGTCAGTGAACATTAGAAGTCTGAAGAAATATATCAGCAGTCTCGGGTGTTATAAGCTCATCCTTTATTTTAACTAACAGTCTATGGCCTGATTTACTTCAGACTTAATCTAAAATGGGGCAGCTACAGGGTGCAACATATTGACAGAGCACTGGGTGTAGAATCAGGAAGACTTCCTGAGTTGAAATCTGATCTTAGACACTTAATAGCTGGGTGATCTTAGGCAAGTCACTTAACCCTGTTGCCTCAGTCTCCTCATCTGCAAAATGAGCTGAAGAAGGAAATGGCAAACCACTCCAGTACCCTTGCCCCAACCCCCCCCCAAAATAGGGTCACGAAGAGTCAGACACAACTGAAATGACTCAACAACAATCTAAAATATTTTCAGTCAGGATTCTTAGGCCTGTGAAAAGTCTGCAAATCTTTTTTGAGTGTAGAAATGAATTCTCACACATACACGCATGCACATATACACACACGTGCATGATGACCCAAAGTCGTAAGCTTAAAAATGCACCAAGACTTTTGGGATACCATATAAAACAGGCTATAGGCAACTATAGTTATGATTGGACCATCATATTTACCTTGACATCATTATTTCCCACAGCAATTCCAATTTCTGCAAGGTCTTTCAATAAAGAGGCCATCATCTCCGTTGCTCGTTTTTTCTGGTGATTTGTCATTTCCTTGAGTTTCTGAAGCTCAGCATCTATACTTGCTAGAGTTGCCTTTAAAAAAAAATTCAAATATTTGTTAAAATAATTTAATAACCTAATAATTCAAGTCAGAGGAAGCATGGTATAGGTAGGAAAAACTGGCCTTGGGATCAAGAAGGCTTGGGTTCAAATCCTGCCCAGGATAGACCCTGGCTGTGTGATGCTGGGAATATTACCTACGCCTTCATTACCTGAGGCAACTCTCCTTAAGACTATAAACTGTAAAGCAGTTGCCCGTCTGTACTGGTAGAGAGAGTTCCATAGATCTCCACCCCCCAAAAGACTGCCTGTTTTGTACAAATGTAACAGTTTAAAAATGTTAAGTAGCTACCCTACAAAATGAAATATACTAACAGCAGGCATTTATATTATTCTTTCCACTTATAACACTCTACATCAATTCCACCTTTCTAGGAAATCATAATGAAAATGGTAAACAACAGATCAATAAATATTTGTTGGGTATGTTGTAAAAAATACTTAAAATATGCACATGGAGTATTTTATAAGCAAACTGTGTACTGGTTAAATGCTAATGGGGAATCAGTATTATTTGGTTATGAAAAGTTATAATACTAATGACTAGTGCAAATAATTTGCTGAAGTTCCAAGTAAAATGAAATTCCCTTCCTTACTGTACTGATTAATTTCTCGGCTGGTAATATAGCCTGTTTGCTAGTTTACCATCATCTGCCACCCTGAAAAATGGGATCGAAGTTTTAAAAAAGTTCTCTTCCCATCAGAAAATTAAAGAATAATAATTTTAACAGTAACCACACATGGACATAGTGGGGGAACATAATGGTAACCTTAATGCATCTTTTTGTTGTTGTTGTTAATAACGGAAGAATAAAAGACAAAGAGGTTTTGGCGTAGAGCAAGAACTGATGATTGAGAGTTTAGGACCATGAGCATCAATGTACAATTATACCCAGCCTTATCTGGAAGAAAGAAATTTAAATAATTGTCAAGTGAGAACTATTAAAGACAGAAATTTATCAAATGATAAAAAATGAAAAACAAAAACATATTGTGATTTTCTTACCGATTTCTGATTCAATTCATCGCTAAGTAGCTCATACTCCTTGGCTTTGTCTTCAACTTCCTGAGACTTCTGATCATAGTTGACTGCAAGTTCCTCCAGAGCCTGCAGCACTTCTTTCACTTCTTCCTTGGAGGCATCATTTTCTGCCTGCAGGCGATTCAGTTCAGCCTGCATATTATCTTGGTCCCTTCTGGTAGATGCTAGAAGCTGCAAAGGGCATATGTGGCCATTTTCATCAAAGTATTAACACAAGAAAAGGCTAGATGCACACTGCTTTAATTCTAATCTCCTACATATAACTTTCTTGAGCACAAGCAGAAAGTACAGAGATGGGGATCCAGGTAACTTATTAACTGTATCACCCTCCACTGATCTTTGACATCTCATTCCTGTTTATTAAACACCTGACTTTGTCCAGAATTACATAGGAATCAGGGATAAAAATTAATGGAGGCAACAACTCTATCTTTAGGAATTCATCTTGGCTTAGATACGACAATGTATTTTTAGTGAGATTTAGGGGAGAAGGCAAGAGAAAGATCTGTAAAGGACTAAACAATGTGGTTTGAATTAATGTAGTTCTAATTTTAAGTTCATGACAAAGTGAAACTTTATAGGGAGGTAAGCAGGTGTAACTTGCCTCTTCTTGATCCAACATTTGTGTCTTCAATTTCTCTACCAACTGGCTCTGCTGATTAATTTCTTCATCCTGTAATTAAAAAAAAATCAGTTATTAACAGGTTTCAAAAATTAGCTGTAATCTTGATTAGTTGGTAAATAGTTCATAAGATAATTAAGCACACATGTAAGATGGAAATAGAAAAATAACTTTCTGAAATTTCAAATTAAAAACTGCAAGTAAATACCAATTTTTTACATGTTGAAAATAAATGTTTTTGCCATACATAAAAGTGAGACAAAAATGAATTTAAATTCAAGATGGTTTAATTTTTTTCTCAAGAAAAATATTCAAATGCTACTATTTTTTAAAAATAGCCATGCTACAATAAATGTATAATTTATTATACTACAAACAAGGAAACACAAATTTATTCTTTACCAAAGTCTTTTTAAAAAACATTTTCGATAACCATAATTACTTCTATTAATATAGCAATTTAAAACACTTTGTATATATTAACTCATTTAATCCTGACAATAATCCTGTGAGATAGGTATAATAAGGATTGTTATCCTCATTTTACAGACGAGGAAACTGAGGCTATAGGAGAGGTTAAGTGACTTGCCCATGGTCATACAACTAGTAAGTGCCAGAAGCAGGATTTGAATGTATGTTTTATAAAGTCCAAGCTGTAAGTGAAAAATAGTGAATACAAAAAAGTGTTAGGTTTTATACAATTTATTGAAGTGTCACGGTAAAATTATATTATGGAAATATTTCAAATTGAGGCCACACATAATAAACATAACTATATAACTATTTTCACATTTTTTATTTTTCTCTTCACTATTCCTACCAAAACTGTTTTTACTCTAGAGTACCTTTAAAAACTATTTTTAACATTATTGACACTCCATGCTATCTTTGTACTTTCTTGATAAAATCTCGATTCCACTCTACTCCCAATCACACTCTTCTTCTTGAGATTTTCTCTATTTTCTAGGGTTCCTGTATTCCCCCAGTCCTGCTGGCTGCTACATCTTAGCTCTGCTATACCCCAGATAGTTATTCTTTCCCCTTGGAAGATTTTTTTCCTTTAAAAAAATAGCACCTGAATTCTCAGATTTCAGATCAAGAATTGATCTCCTAAGTGTGCCTCAAGTCTCCCTAATCATGGGATGAATTGTGGCATAAGTTCATTACAACAACGAGGGACCTAATCAGTAGGGTCTAAAAACTGTAAAAGGTCTTATGCCGGAGGTAGTTAGAGACAGTGACAGTGTATGCTAACTCTGGGCTCAGACACAGTGGGACCAGGGACCATAGAGGGTGTATAACCTCTATCAACCATCCAATCAATAAGTCAATTAACAAACAATCAATCAATATTTATGAAGTACCTACTACATGCCAGGCACTGTGCTGGGAAGACAAAAGATAGTCCTTGCCCTCAAGGTGCTTACAACATAATGGAGGAGACAAGAGGAAAACAAATAATGCAAGCGACATACAGGATAAATAGGAAATAATTAACAGCGGGAAGGCACTAGAATTCAGAGGGGTTAGGGAAGGTTTCCAGCAAAAGAAGAGAGTTTAGTTGGGAATAAAAGGAAGCTAGGGAGGTCAGTAGTTGGAGTGAAGGAGGTAGAGCATTTCAAGTATAGGGGAAAGTCAGAAAAAAATGCCCAAAGCTGAGAGATAAAGTGCCCTTATTCACTGAACAGTCAGGAAGCTAGTGTCAATGGATTGAAGACTACGTCATGGGGTAAGGCAGAAGAAGACTGAAAAGATAAGAGGGTTTTTTAGGAGGAGCATTTTGTAAATTCTGATTCTGGAGATAACATGAGTTTAACGGTGCGGGGGGGGGGGGGGGGGGGGGGGAGTAAGGGGTAGGAGCCGTGTTACACTGGGAAAAATCACTTTAGTGGCTGAATGGAGGATGGATTGCAGTAGGCAGAGATTTGAGGCAGGCAGATGCACTAGCAGGCTATTGGTACAGCACAGGGTGAAGTGATGAGGACCTACACCAGAGTGATGTCAGGGTCAGAGGAGGGAAAGGGTGTATTCCAAAGATATTACAAAGATGAAATTGGCAGGCTCTGGCAACAGCTTGGACATGGTGGGGTGATACATAGTGAGGAATCTGGGATGACTTCTAGGTTTTGAGCCTGGGGAACTGAGAGGATGGCACTGTCCTCTACAGTAATGGTGGAAGTAGCAGTGGGGGAGAGTTAAGGGGGAAAGATAATGAGTTTGGTTTTGGACATATCGAGTTGAAGATGTCTACTGGACATCCAGTTTGAGATATCTGAAAGGCAGTTGGAGATGAGAGACTCTGCAGAGGTCAGCAGAGAGATGAGGGCAGGAAAGGTAGATTTAAGAATTATCAGCATAAAGATGGCAATTAAATCCATGGGAGCTGATGAGATTACCAAGGGAAGTAGTACAGAGGGAGAAAAGAAGAGCCCAGGAAAGAACCCTGAGGGCCACCTACAATTAGAAGGCGACAGAGACAGGAGCAGACAGATAGGTAGGAAGGGAACCAATGTATCTTGAAAACCTAGAGAGAATCACGGAAGAGAGAGTGATCAACAGTGTCGAAGGCTTCAGAGAGGTCAAAGAGAATGAGGGTGAGAAAAGGCCATTGGATCTGGCAACTAAGATCATTAGAAACTTTGGAGAACAGTTTCTGTAGAATAAGGTCAGCAGTTCGACTGTAAGGGGTTAAGAGGAGAGTGAGAGGAGAGAAAGTGGAGACACCGAGTATAGACAGTCTTTTGAAGAGTTTTACTACAAAGGGCAGAAGAGATACAAAATGATAGTACGGAAAGATCAAGTGAAGGTTTTTTCAGGATGGGAGAGACATAGGAATGTTTGTTGGCAGTAGGAAGTGAGCCTGTAGACAGGGAGAGATTGAAAGTGACAAGAGTGGGGATGACAAAAGGGGCAATCTGCTAGAGAAGAAAGGATGGAATGGGATTGCTTGAACAAAAAGAGGGATTAGCCACTTCTAGTGGCTGTTTACTAGAATTCAGATCAAGTGGAAGGTATGAAGAGCATGAGGTTACTGAGTGAAGGAGAACCTGAAGCGGCAATGTGAGCAAGCAGTACTCCAATTCCCCTGCCTTGACCAGTGAGCTGAAGAAAATGAGTAAAGGTGCAGCCTGTACTGGAAAGGGAGGCCAAGCTTCAGTAATAGCTAGTAGATTGCAAGAGTGAGAGAGAGAAAAATTTAAGATGAAGCGAAGTCTGTAATCTATGGAGCAGGCATTCCAGAGGGAACTGTGAAAGGGCTGGGTGGAGTTTGGTTCAAACTTTTGGATGGGAAGGATGGGAATGAGGAATCAGGCGATACAGAATGGGGTTTGGCTCATGTAAGAGTTCAGAATCCCTGGAATGTCATTCTACTTAGTATGCAGACAAATTCTCAGCTTCTTGTTCCCCCTGTCTCTATGATTCAGTTTAAATGAAAATTACCCTCCCCCCTTTCTATTCTGTGCCCTCATTCCCACCCACCACTTCAACCTTACTCTTTAAAACTATACCCTTCTGTACTATGCTCTCTGGAATCCCTGCCCTACTGCTAACAAACTCCCCTTTATTGCAACAGGTTCAACTTTTTCTATCTTGTAAAACAAAAAATATCTGTCTTCTCCCATAAGGCACAGGCCACTCTCTTCAATATTCAGTGTTTTTCTTTTAAGCTCCTTTAAAAGCACTGAGCCAGGAGTAGACTTACTTCTTGCTCTTCATTCTCAGTTCCAGACTCTTCACTGTCATCACTCAGTAAGCTCTCCCTTGGAGGCTCACCCCATCAATTTTATCAGCCAGGCCAAATCCTTGTCTTAATCATTTCCTCACCTTCGCCTTTCTATTTTCTCAAGGAGTTCAGTATTTGGCTCACTGTTTTTCTCTGGACCTCAGCCTTGGCTCTCAGAGATTTCAATACACATGCTGATATTCCCTCAATATGCTGGTCTCTCAGTTCACCAACGTCCTAAATTCTCACAACCTTTAACTTCACCCTACATCAGCCATACACTTCACCCTACATCAGCCATACACAGGCAAAGGCATAAGCTGGATTTGATTACAACCCATAAATACCTTTTTCCATGCCTAGAATTCTAAAAATTTTCTCTCCAACCACAACTTTGTCCTCTTCCTCATTTCTCCTAAAGCTCATGGGTTTTTTTGGCTAGGCAATGGGGTTAAGTGACTTGCCCAGGGTCACACAGCGAGTAAGTGTCAAATGTCTCAGGCTGGATTTGAACTCAGGGTCAGTGCTCTATGCACTGCAACACCTAGCTGCCCCTAAAGCTACTCTTTTCATCATGACTCTCAATTCCTCCACCTCTTCCTATTCCCAGAGTCTACTCCTCTTCCTTTAGTTTTACTTCTTTCTCTTTACAGCCTTCATCCAAGGGCTCATCAGTGTGACCACAAACTATCAGCTACTCTTAAATTTCCTTTCCCCTCCTCTCACTGTCAGTCATACTGTCTCAAAATTTAACCCTCCATTATCTCTACCATTCAGCTTTCCCCCCTTTATTCACATGCTACTAAAAAAAGTCACACAATGGCACAGACTGTCCACTATAAGACTGTCTGGTAATCTTCACTGGGTCATCACTTTTGGAAAGTAATTCTTTTATTCTTCTCTGACTCTCGACTATATTCTTCCCAATAGCTACCTCCATAATCTCTCACCTCACAACAAAACCATCTCATCATTCCCTCTTCCTATCTTCTCTTACCCTGCCCTCCCCCTTTCCTTCTGTACCCTCAACCCTGAATCAGGCCTCTTTCTCTCTAGACTCTTTACCCTTAATGTGTGCTCTTCATCCCCCTCCCTCTTTGATCATCCTCTTCCAGAGGCTTACTGCTTGATCATTCCTTTTCAAGGTTTCCTTAACCTGACTCCTTCTTTGTTGCTGAATAATATGCCTTTCCCCCATCTTTACAAACCTTCATTTGACTCTGCTATCTCCTCAAACTATTATATTCCAGCTCAGCCAAACTCCTAGAGAGGATTATCTACAGTTATTGCCTTGTCTCCCACCTGCTTTCTGATCTCCTGAAATTTACCTTCTGTTCCTACTAACAACTAAAACTACTCTCTCCAAGGATACCTTGCACCTGCCAGCCCCACCGTCCTTTTCCCAATCTTAACTCTATTTGATTTCTCTGCAGCTCTTAATTCTGTTGACCAGCTCTGTCCTCTCAAAGCTTACTTTACACTGGTGGTTTGGTTTTTTTTTGGTTCTCTTCCTCCCTGTCTGACAGTTTCTTCTCAGTCTCCTTTACTCTGTCATCTTCTTGCTCCTGTTCATGAGGCATGCACGATCCCAAAGGCTCTATACTGGGCCCTTGTCTCTCTCTACAGTCTTTACTCCTTAATCTCCTTAGTTTCCATAGACAGTTCCCAAATTACATATACTGTTGAGAAAGGATAATTTCATTTAGAATCAGAGGACATGAGTCAAATTCTGGCACTGCCACCTACTACTCTTATAGGCTGAGGCACTCACTTGGCCTTTCTGGGTATCAGTTTCCTCACCTATAAAAAAGGAGGAGAGCAACCTGAATGATCTTTGGGATCCCTTCCAAATCTAAATTTACTCTACACAACTATTTCAGAATTCAAGTCCCACTTTCATAACTGCTTTCTGAACCTGGTTACCTTATAAGCATCTCATTTTGCTTTTTTTTTTTGGTGAGGCAATCAGGGTTAAGTGACTTGCCCAGGGACACACAGCTAGTTAAGTGTCAAGTGTCTGAGGCCAGATTTGAACTCAGGTACTCCTGACTCCAAGGCTGGAGCTCTATCCAAGGCACCATCTTGCTGCCCCTAGGCATCTCATTTTGGAATGACCAGAGCGGAATTCATTGTAATTCTCCCACACCCATACCTCCTCCAAACTTCCCTATTTCTGGCTATCACCATTCTTCCAATCAGCCAGGTTCACAATCTTGGCTCCATCTTCAACCTTTCCTGACCTCATACCCAGTCAGCTGTCATGTCTTGTTGATTACACTTCAATAACATCTCTTGTATTCATCACTTGTCATCCACCCACACAGCCTCTACCCTGATGCAGAATTTTATGGTCTGGACTGTTCTGAGTCTCCTAAATAGTGTCCCTGCCTCTTACGTTCCTTCCACACAGCTCTCAAACCGATATTTCCCCAAACATATCTGACTATATTCATGACCTTACTAAGGCATCTTCAGCTGTTCCTTATTGCCTCTAAGATAAAATACGATTCAAATGCTCAATATGGCACACTTAAAGCCCTCTTTACCATTACTACTTTTCCTCACTATAGCTATAGTTCATGTTACTCCCCTTTTGCCTTCTTCATTCTAGTCAAATAGGTCTGCTAGCCATTCCCCACACATGACTTTTCATCCCTTTCTTATATGCCTTTGCACAGGTGGAATCACACGTCTGGAATGCACTGCCAGGTTATCTTCTACCTCTTGGAATTCCTAGTTCCTTTACAGTGCAGCTGAGTCCACTTTTCACATAAGGCCTTTCTTGATTCCCTCCAGCATTAACTTTCTCTCCCTCCTGAAATGCTGCAGATATTTTGTACTTACTTATCCGTGTAGATATTGTCAGCCCCCTACCCCACTCCCATTGCAATGTAAGCACCTCAAGGGGAGAGACTCATGTTTGTATTTGTATCTTCAGCACCTATGCATAATTCCTAGCACGTAACAGGAATTTTATAAATGTTTCCTGATCTTAGTGAAATTATCTGACAGGATGGTTTCAGAACCAGATATAATAAATTTGAACAATGGTATATGCAAAATCATACATATGCCAAAGATACAAATACAAATAAAAGCAAAGAAATTCAGCTGAAATGAGATACCAAAAAGATGTATTTAGAATAAAGTCATAAGGACCATTATATTATTAGTTGAAAATACATTCATATCCAAATGAAAACAATTTATCAAGAAGCAAATACTATGCACAAATTGAAATACAATCTTGAATAAGAACAATTCCTACCTTATCATCAAGTTGTTTGTACAATTTAGCAATTTCTTCTTCACACTTTCTTCTTTCAGCATCAGTGAAGTTTCCTGTAACTCCAATTGTGGCTGCTGGCTTATCATTGATGATAGTAATATCTTTATCTACTGCAAAGGCTTCTAAGTTGGCTTTCTCTTTGTCAAACCGTTCATCAACTGGTACAGTCTCCCCTTAAATAAGACATAGGAATGATTATCTAATAAAATCAAACATGTTCAAAACTGAACTCAATCTTCTCCTATCAACTTCCTTGTCTGTCTAGTCATATTTGACTTGTTCTTTTCCTTCATATCTAGTCAAGCTTACCAAACCCAGGTGATTTTCCTTTGAAAAGTCTCTTCTTGGGGCAGCTAGGTGGCACAGTGGATAGAACACCGGCCCTGGATTCAGGAGGACCTGAGTTCAAATCTGGCCTCAGGTACATAAAACTTACTAGCTGTGTGACCCTGGGCAAGTCACTTAACCCCAGTGCCTAAACCCCCCCCCCACAAAAAAAGTTTCTTCTCAATTTTATTATTACCACCCTAATCCAGGCTCTCATCACTTCACATGGAATATTCCAACAGTTTACTAGCAAGTCTTCCTACTGCATCCCTCCTTAATCTATCCTGATAATCCTTGCAAGCTAATCTGCCACCTTATCCACCTACACTGTCCTTTGCCCTCACACCAAGCCACAAAGGTTTTCAAGGCTCCCCCCCACAATCTACTGTTAACCCTACCTATCTATTTCCATTATTTCTAACATTTGGTGGTCTATGTCCTGCAAAGAAATTATAGTTGTTCCCAACTCTGTCTTTTCTCACATTGTTCTCCTACAAAGATACAGCCTTTTGTATGCTTTCCTATCTATCCATTCTGTCCGCTGCTCAAGACAAAGTTCTTTCAGCTTTCCTAATTATTCTTGTACCCACTCTTTCTTTTGAATCCCTATAGCATTTATTCCATATCACACAATTCAGCCTTTAATTATATATTGTAGTTTGCTTTTGTTTCATATTTATAAACTCTTCATAAGCTTATAAATATAGCTTATGCTTTTTGGTACCTTCACCCTCACCAAGTACAATACTAATCACACAGAAGACACTGAATGCTTGTTAAATGACAGAAATTGTCTACCCAAATACTGAGAAAACATAAATGTACAAAAACTTAGTATCACTCATCGAAATTTAGTCATGCTAGTAAATAACTATAAATTAGGGAATTAAAAAGTGTATTAACTGAAGATATCTTCCTGACATTGATATGGGGGTAATTAATCCTATAATTATGAAATATGTCCTTTTATGTTATTTAATCTCATATATACAAAATGCTTCTTTTTAATCATCTACATATACCTACTCCTACAATTCTGGACCCTTGGTCATTTTTGGTTTTTAACCTATTAATCATTACCTCCTTACTACTGAAAAGTAAAGTAGAGACATGACCATCATACCCTAAAGTTAGCCAAGTGAAAACTAGATATGCTGAGTATTGATAAGGTCATGAAAAAGTAAATAAGTCACATAATTCTGAATTAAATTGAACATTTAGCCGAATTTTGACACTTTTTCTTAACTCTTTTTGCTTCAATTATCTTAGGTCATTTTGTTAGAGAGCCTAATGATAGTTTATGAGAACATCTGACATTTTCTTCTTAAATACCTAATCATTTTCAAAGCTATGTAAATGATAACTACTTTGGCCTCTATTTTAATTTACCTTAATGTTGGATTCCCCAACACTTTAAATAGCTATTCTATAGTTATGGGCTCACCAACATGAAAATGTGATAGCTTAATTTCATTACCATTTCGCCATCGATTGAGTTCATTTTCTAGCCACTGAATGGTGTTACGTAATGTCTTGTTTTTCTCTTTTTCTTTTTCATATTTTTTCTTCCACTGTTCTGCAGTTAGCTCCACATTAACACAAACTGTGTTCTTTATTGTCTTGGCTCTAATGAAATTGGAAAAAAAATTAAACAGGGATGAACTAGTTATTTTCAAATATATTTACTTTCCAACTGCTTCTACCACTACGTAATAAAATGTGCATACAACTTAGTTGAATATTACCCATTCTTACCTAAGTGCTACATTTTAGAATGAATACAGAAAGATGTTTACTCAAATAGGAAGGGATTATTTTAATGTGTATTTAAGAGGTGACAGTGTGCAGGGTTTGCAAACTGTGAGAAGCTCTTAATGGGAAAGGGAAGTTTGGGGAGGAGGGGGGGAATGGTTTACAATTTTTATAGCACCTGCAAAGCTGACCTTAGGCTATTTTAAGGTTAATGATAATGTTATGATCTGACTCTCCTATGGTAACTATGAAATTCAAAATACTCCTGATCCCAGAGCACACAATGGCTGCTCTAAGTTAACAACTTCTGTCAAAATTATACTGGTTTCATTTTATGATCTGATCCAAAATTTTTTTTTGGTTCATCCTAGCAAAATTAAATTTTCTTTCCTTAGTCATAACTAAGTCCTAAGTTTCAAAAGAACTGGTGAAAATTGTAATATTTAATTAACCAAATTGGATCAACTATATTTTAAATATAAAATACAAATTCTAATAATAATAGACACCAATTATATAAAGTATATGTATATTCTACATATGTCAGTTAATCTGAGTTATATATGCTTTTGAAAAAATCTATATAACAAGGTTTTATTAGGGCTTTAAGACAATAAATTTTAAAAGTTCAAACTTCATTTATCCAAATATTTATTAAGAGTATATATAATTTGCATTTTCAGTAACTAACCTTTGGCCAAACAGGAGAGTAGATTTTGTTTCCGACTCGTTATATGATGATGGAGAGCAACAAATGACAATAGTGGTTCTGCAGTTGCCACCTAGTGAATCTTGAAGGATTCTTGTCATTTTACTATCTCGATAGGGAACATATGTCTATAAAAAAAAAGGGTGTTCATATAGTTTTTAGGCATTCAGGATCACATAAGCTCTGAAATAAAGCACATGAGGTACTTAACAAAACTCGCCACAGAGCAAGACTGTCTTGAATATTTTTCAATGTGTCCATTTCATGTCAATTGCCTACTTGAGAGAGCTGAAATGAGGTAGTTGTTTAACTTCACTACTGCTATAAAATGGAAATCCAAAACTGATAACGATTTCATTCATCCAATAAATATTTGAGCACTGTTATACAGGGCACAATATCTTCCCATAAAATTTATATTATTAGAAATGGATCACAGTTTCTGTGTATATATCTAAGAACAGTTTTTAAATTAAAAAAAACAACAATGCAGCCAATAACACTTACACTACTCTCAGCCAAAGCAGAAATGACATTTCCAAGAGCAGACAGAGACTTGTTGATGTTTTTAGCTTCGTCCAGCACAGCACCTTCAGCTCCAGTTTTACTAACCTATATGCATAATTTAAAAAGAAATTAAACCACAAGAAAAATAAAGTTTAACATTATGTGCTTTAAAGTAAAGCTGCTGGTATTTGAGACAAGCAGTGTGACACAGCATACAGAAGCAGGCTTTGAAGCCAGGAAAACATGGGTTTGAGTCTTACCTCTGAAACATATTCAGAGGGTTGTTCTTTAGTCACTATCAGTCATATCCAACCCTTTGTGAGCCCATCTGGGGTTCTCTTGGCAGACACTGGAGTGGTCTGTCATTTTCTTCTCCAGCTCTTTTTTATAGATGAGGAGGAGGCAAAAAGGGTAAAGTGATTTGCCCATAGTCACACAGCTAGTAAGTGTTCGAGGCCAAATTTGAACTCAGGTTTTCCTGACTCCAGGCCTGTCGCTCTATCTCTCGTGCCACCTGACAAAAGCATTTAATCTTTCAGTGTCCCAGACAAATCTCAAAGTGTCTAAATTAGCTATGAGTTACCAATCTGTACCCATACAGGGAGTTTCCACAGTGAGAGTTCTCCACATCTACAAAATCACAGTTCCCTCCCCCCATCCCATCATTAATATTCACTCCCAACAAAATCTTAATTATTTACTAGAGATACTGTAACTTGTTACTTTGACATTTTTCATATACTATATTTCTGAAAAAGACTTTTTTGAGGGAGAAGGTAGAGCAGGACTTGCAGACACTATTACTAACATAAGAGATCTTTGCCCCTCTCTCATATACTTGCTATTTTGTATTACAACTATTTCTGTATGCATTCTACCTCTCTACTAAAAGGTTCAAGAGAGGGACTAAGAATTGGAAATCCTGGAGCACTTTACACCCTGTTCTGCACATAGTGCTGAAATGTTTGCTGATATGGTATTAGTGTTTCATAGTTGAGAAGGAATACTTAAATACTTTAAAAATTTTATTACTTTGTTCTTTTATTGTAACCTGGGACTCTGGATATAAGTCTACCAGCCTCTCCCTTTTTCTTTTTTCCCCCTTTTCCAATGTGTCGCATTTGTTGCTTTTTACTTTGGAGATTCCAAATTTCTGCAGAAATGTGACAATGTCTAACTTATTTGTGCTAAGTAACGTTTATGGACATACAGCACAATGGCCAGAAAATACTGTCTAAAATGGTTTCTTTCTTTTAAGCATGAAATATTCAGATAATTATTTCAAATGAACTGAAATTCAGTATTTAATAAAACACTTCACAGTGCTGACAATAATGTCTAGATAATCTTAATTTCATTAAGGGTAATCACATAGGAAGACACAACAGATAACAAATAATTACAAAACACATAGAAACATGATAAATGCACCAGAGAGGCACAAAACCAAATGATACATTAAGAATGAGAGGGGAAAGGTCATTATTTTTAACTAAGAATGCGTAGGATCTCATTTTATACTTGGGAAACTGAGGCTCAGGGCACTTAAAACTGCTTGCTAGGGGGTCACCTGGCTAGCAAGTGATCCAACCACAACTATTCAGAGCCCATATCCAGACTCCCAGGCCAAGCAACTCTTTCCATTGCATCACACATTTTTTCATGACTCCATGTGTTAATCCCACATCAGACACTCAGAAAACATGAATGACATCAAATACTATTGATTATAAAACTTTTCAATTAGATTCAATAAATATTTGATCGCTTATTATATCCCTAGTACTTTACTAGGTGCTGTGACAGGTTATTTAAAGCAACTGTGGGAGGTCCTGGGAACATCTCCAATCATATAAATCACAAGTCATATGTGACTTATCTACTAAACTTAAGCTCCCAAGGTCACACAGGTCTAAGTAGGAAGGCAAGCATTTAACTCCAGGGTCTCAGATCCGAAATCCAGTACATTCTCCACGTACTTCACCATTGTGCCTCTATGTTGGAGGCAGGCTTCAAATATATGGCTTAGCATGTGACAGAAAACAGAGAGCAAATGATAATGTCTTTCCCTTAAAAAGTTAATAATCCGGTTACGGACACACACTCATTAAATAAGAAACAAATAGTGTATGTAAAAGGTAGCAAAGTGGATAGAGTGCTGGCCTTGGAGTCAGGGGGACCTGATCAACTCCAGCCTCAGACATTTGACATTAGCAGTGTAACCCAGGGCAAGTCACTTAACCCCACTGCCTAGCCAAACAAACAAACAAACAAGGTAGCACAGTACAGCATATAGGACAACCTCTACCAGTCAGCAGACCCAGGCTCTACTCCTCAAGCTCTTTCACTAACCACCTACATGAACTCTAATAAATCACATTTCTAAATCTTAGTATCCTTGTCTATAAAATAAGGGATCTGATTATATGATTTCTAAGAATACTCCTATATCTACCACCATGTATGATTTAACCCTAAATTAAATTCACTAGGTGATTTAGCAATATAAACTAAAATAAGATGGGCTATCAATACGGGTTAGCATTTTCAGGGATAGTTTTGTGTCAGAAGTGGGACCTGACATCATATTTGAAAAATGTGTAGACTTTGAGTAAGCACGGAAGAGCAAGGAAAACATAAGCAAAGCCAGAAAGGCAAGAATGTCCAAGAAAAGTACTGATGACAGTGAGATGAGAGGCCTAGTTTTAGGGGAATAAAGTTGGACAGGTAAAGGGGACCAGGTAATAGTGGACTCTGAAGGTCTAAACATTATAAGTATAACTAAAAGTTTGAAATTCATCCATCTTAACTGATAAATAAGACAACTTTTCAACAAATAACTATCAACAGCTATTTTTGAAGTACCTATTATGTGATAAGCATATTCACACACACACAATATCCAACAGAACTTAGTCACACAAAATATAACCTGAATATATCCACACTGAAAACATTACCAAATATTTAGGTCAAGTGTCTGACTATAAATAAGGCTATGGAATGTAATATTATTTATATTATATCACTTAAAATTCAATGGTTGATCACACAATCAAACTAATCACGCTATGACCCATAACAATTGTTATAGGGGTTGAATATACTATATCGTATTTTACATATTTTCCAAAAAAAGTAACAAGGTATATAGAACACTGCGTAAGAACAAACAATCCAGTTATGTGTATACACCCAGAGAAATATAAAAAAAAAGAAAAAAGAAAAAAAGAAAAATGTTACCTTCTCACTACCAGCCAAATCTACCAGATAAAGTTTCCCACTCAGTTTCTGTTCTGTTTGAGTGTTTTCTTGTTTTACATTAATAAGAAAGATACTGTGACTTCTAGAGCTATGTTCATTCATATCTATAATGAAAACAAACATATTTAAAACAATTATTTGATTAGCCACTAATTTCCCTTTCTGATAATTTCTTTTAATATGGTATATTTTACATTGGAAACACAATTATCAACTGACAAAGGATTTTTTTTTAAAGTTCAAACATTCTACTTACTCGTAACTGCTACATGTCTGTTAGATTTTCCTTCGTCTATAGTATCCATAACCTCATCAGGACTACATACAAAACGCTCTGTGCAACCCTTGAAAATATTTTTAAAGTATGAAAATTATTTTCCCATCACTATATACTTTCTCTTACAAAATCATTCTATAGTCTTTATACAGACCTTTACATAGGGAACTCTGTTTTTGTCCTCGTGAACAGAAAGATTGGTCTTTGAAACTGAAATAGGAAAACATTATTTGTCAGATGATAACTAATATCCTCTGAAATGTGACATTAGCTAAAAATTTGCTATATAATTTTCCCCCTCTGAGCAGTATGACAAATAGACAAGAACCACTATTTTAAAAGTGCCTTCAAAAGCACTGAGGGGAAATAAAAGACTACTCCATCACCACTAAACAAAAAGATTTATACAATCATCAATACTCAATATTTTTAAAGTATCCATAAACATATGCCTCAAGTTGTGTTATCAAAAGGCTCACAACTGTAATTTACAAGAATAATTTTAAAATGCCATTTTATATAATTTAAGGCAATTTTAATACACTGTAACCAAAAGCTCTTCCATCTATTAGAAAAAGAAATCTTTAGGGTCCTTTCTGACATAACATAATTAACTACTATTATGCTAGAAAGATGATGACAGGAAACAGTACAACTTACCATCCAAAAGGTCCCTTATCTTATCCAAATATATTTCAAAATATGATACCTAAAGGAAAAAACAAAGATTAAATAAGGGAAACAATTCAATTGCTACTACATTCCATAATATATATTCTCAGTCTATTCATAGAGAAAGTGAAAAGAGAATAAGCCTAAAAACCTTTTTTTTCCTTCCTTCCTTCTTTTTCTCTTCTGAGTGATTTGTCCAGTATGATATGGCTATCTGGCTTTATCAGTTAAAAAACAGGAGTAGATTTGTCCCAAAGGAGTGTTAAACATCTGCAGAGAAGCAGCTTCATGTGGCACAGATTGTCTCTGATTAGGACCTTGAGAGAATTTATTTAGACATATGAAAATGGTCTGTCTTCCGGAAGAACCCAGATCTGCTGGTATGAGGGCAAGTTGCAGTGAACAAGACAAGCCTGAAAATGAGTTTGGGAACCATCCCACCTAGGACAAAGACAAAACTAAAAAGCAGCTGTCCAAAACCAGACTACACTCTTCCAGGTCTACGCAGAGGCACTGTGCAAGCTGCTATCACTTCAGAACCCCATCACTTAATAGAGCATAAGGTATGCACACAAAAAATTATAACACAAGACTGAGTATAGTAAGTACAAAGTAAGTCTGAAGTACTAAAGCTGATTTTTTCAAAAACTTATCAACTACAAACCTGACAACCACTTAATGTACATTTTAAGTGTAATCATCCTAAAAGCTGAATGAAAACAAATCTCTCAAAAGTTTACCTTAATGTGGAACTCCAAATTTTCATCCATAGAGTAAATATAATTAAAAATATCCTGTACTATTCTTGGAATAATACCCATTCCATCTGGATCATGGAGTTTACCCTAAATGGAACAACAAAAAACATTAAACTTTTTAATGAGTTATATATGTTTAATGAAACTAATGAAAAAAATCTATGAGCAAACCCTTTACAAATAAAATGAATCAACAGTGACCAGGAAAGACAGAAATATGATAATTGTGTTTCTATTAAATATGGCCAGACAGCAAAAAAAACACCCCACAACTTCATGAACTTTTAGCATATAAACATTCAAAAATCTCAAAAAAGTTGCTAAGAACTACAGCAAATGCTTAATATAAAGAAGGGACAAGTGGGCCACTTGATAGGAACCAAAAGGATCAATTTTTCTTAACTTACTGTCTAAATTATTTAAAAAAATCAACTTCTAGAAAAGAAAATTATTTGAATTCTGTACTTTGCTGCTGTACCACAAGCAGATCCCTAAATTCTTCCTATTTTGTGGCTATGACAACATCACTAATAAAATAAACCTTTAATAATTTCAAATACATTGCCTCCTGGAGAGAAGTAGTGAAAAATCCAAAATAATTGTTAAGAGAATTTTACTGTCAACAGAAAAAATACACTAATGGCCTTGACATGCAACTCAAAAAAAGGAGAAGAAAATTTCTTTTACAATTTGTTACCTCCATTGTATGCGTCTTCCCAGAGGATGTCTGTCCATATGCAAATATTGTACCATTATATCCTTCAAGTACATCTATAAGAAGTTAAAAAAAAAAAAAGAATTTTATATGTCAGGAAATTTCCCTTCCTAAACAAAATTCAGAGAACTACTTTTAAGTGTTGCAAGAAAATGTTATATGTTCCTGATCAACACAAAAAAACTCTCAAATAATTAAAACACTTAAGAGAGCTGCCTAAATTCTTAAATCCAGCAAAATAACTTGGTGAGAAAAAACTCAAGTTAATTTTCCTTCAGACCAGTTGATATATAATAAAGTCTACTAAAATTCTATATAAAAGTTATAAACCTGTCAAAGTCTAAGTTTAATTCTTATGACTTATATGAAGAATTTTTGATTTGAGAGTGGAGAAGTTTCTTTGCCAGAGCAGAATACAATTTATCTAAGACTTAGTAAATAAATCCTAGAGAGTTATCTGATGCACAAAAGGTTAAGTGATTTGCCCAGGGTCACAGAAATGGTAAATGCCAGGACTGGGATTGGACCCAGGGCCTTTCTTTCTTATCAGGGACTGATAAAATTTGATTTTTTGCCCCTGAAAGGTAGAAGCACAATGTTTGGCTCATAGTAGGTATTTAACAAATGTTCAATCTCAGTCTAGCACATTATCTACTGTCTCACTGCCTCTACTAAAAAAGAACAAAACCAAACCATTACTATAAGACCTTTAAGGAAATAACCAAATATGAGTGTTAAATTAAAGGAATATTATGATCTATGTTAAAATCTACAAACAGGAATAAATTTCTCCTACAACATTAAGATTGTTATTCTTTTATTATCAGCTTGGAAAATGAGGAATTTCATAGATCTTATTTGTCCTTGCTTTAGCTCCAGAATAAAATCATGAATCAGAAATGTCCTATGAAATTCCCTGTTCCTAAATTATTCTCTGTAATATTCAATTTTTGTACAATTCTCTCAATGTACTTTATGAAACACAAACATATCTTTCCTGCTAAAACCTGAGTCACGGGCTGGCTTGGCCCTTTAAGTTGAAACCACCTAAATGAGTAGGTCAAGGTAGCTACCCAGTCACCTAGGCTTAATCACCTAAGTAAGATGGTAAATCTTGGAGATATCTTTGGCTCTTCTCTTGCCCTACAGAGTCAATCAGGCATGAAGTCCTGTCAATTCTACCTGGGCAATCTCTCCCCATTAGTCCCACTTCCCCCCAATTCCTGTTCAGGGCATCTTGTCTACTTGATGACTACTGAAATAGCCTCTTAACCAATCCAATTCAACAGGCATTTATTGAACACTCATGATGTGCCAGATGCTGGGGATACAGCTATAAACCTAAGACAACTGGCTTCCCTTGAGGGGAGCAACATGTTCACAAGCAAATGTACAATACAAAGTGATTTTGGGGGCAGGTGATCACTCACATAAGGGGAAATCAGAAAAGGTGTCTTGAAGGGAGTGGTACTAAAGCTGGGCCTGAGGAAGAAGAACATTGCAGGCACTGGAGATACTGCATGCAAAGGAGGTGGGAAATACTCTCCATTTCAGGGAACAGCACCCAATTTGGCTGGGGTTAGAGTGGAGAGGGGGGATTATATGCAATCAGCCTTAAAAGACAGGATGGAGCCAGAATGTGAAATACTTTAAATGCCAAATATACTTGATTCAAGTATACTTGATTCTAAGGCGTTGGAAAGACACTCAAACGTCCTGATCAGGGAAGCGATCAGGAAAAACTAAAAGACTTTGCCCTTAAAGAGTTGACCCTACTTCTACAACAGCCTACTGAGGCTCCTTGTGCCCAGTCTGAGAGTGTGCTAGTAATTGTTTAACAACTGAATCTTCAGGGGAAAAAAAGTACCCATGACATAACTTTTAAGTTTCATGTGCACTAGTAACATTTTCTCCACCACTTTCTTAAGTCTAAATAATCAACAAAACAATAAATCAGGCCAGATTTGCAGCATTTGCCACTTTCTAAGGTGCAAATGCTCATAGTGAAAATTCAACAATCAGCTGTAGCCAATATGAGCCAGTGCCGGCATACCACTGCTCTAGTCTTTCCTTCCTAAGATCCATCCTTCACATGACTTCTAAATTAATCTTCTTTATGTATAGATTTGCTCATGTCTATCCTCTGCTCAAAATTCCTCAGTGATTTCCTATTGAATATAACTGGGTTTAAAAGGAAATTTACTTTCAGTTCCAAATTCTCTACCTCCCTCTTGCCTCAACCCATTGAGAAGGCAAGAAATATAACACCCATTATACAGATGAAGCCATGCAAAGCATTTCCACATCAGCCATGTTCTGGGGGGAAAAGCAAGACAAACAAAGAAAGGAAAACATGCTTCAATCTGCACTCTGAGTGTATCAGTTCTCTTTCTGGAGGTGGAGCACATTTTACACATCATGAGTCCTTTGGAATTACGGTGGATCATTGTATTGATCAGTCACTAAGTCTTTCATGGTTGAGTATCTCTGCAGTATTGCTGTTACTGTGCAGATTCTCCTCCTGGTTTTGCTTACTTCACTTTGCATCAATTCACATCAGTCTTCTCAGATTTTTCTGAAACCAACATCTTCATAATTTCTTATAGCACAATAATATTCCATCACATTTATATATGTATATACTATGCCATTACTATTACTACTACTAATATACTACTATTATATACTATATGTGTGTGTGTGTGTGTGTGTGTGTGTGTGTGTGTGTGTGTGTATAAATAACTTGTTCAGCCATTCCCCAACTGATGGGCATCCCCTCAGCTTCCAATTCTTGGCACCACAGTAAGAACTGATATAAACATTTTTGTACATATGGGTCCTTTTCCTTTGATCTCCTTAGGGTACAGATCTAGAATTGGTATTGTTGGGTCAAAAGGTATGAAGTTTTAAAGGCCTTTGGGCGCAGTTCTAGATTGTACTCCAGAATGGTTGGACTTGTCACAACTTTGCCCACAGTACGTAAGTGTCTCTATCCTTCCACATCCCCTCCAGGATTTGTCATTTTCCTTTTCTGTCAGCTTAGCCAATCTGATCAGTATGAGATGGTATCTCAGAGTTGTTTTAATTTGCATTTATCAACTGGGGGCCTACTGAATATAGAATAAAGTCCAAATTCCTCAGTCTGGCATCTAAGTTACTTTACAACCTAGTATCCCTGTAATTCAATAAAAATGTATTAAGCACCTACCATTTAGGAGAGCATTTTAGGCACTGGGGAAGATACAAGGTTTAGATAAGACGCATTCCTTGTCCTAAATGTCAGTCTAGTGGGGTGGTGGTGATACATATGACACAAACAGAAATAATGTCAGTCTATGTTATAGTTAAGTGCACTGGAAAGCAGGAGAACAAAGTGTTACAGGAGATGTAAGGTCCAAGGTTACATATGATAAGGGGGAAGAAGGAGAGTTTCATGCAACCTTATCTTACGCCATTCTACATGAAGCATGTTCTAGCCAAACTGGAGTAGCCACTATACCAAATAAACATTAAGCACTTCCCCACCCTAGCATTTTTGTTCACAGCCTCAATTTACCTGGAAATCCCTTACCGTTACATGGGCCTTTTAAAATCCTACCTATCCTTCAAGGTACAACTCTCCTATGAAGCCTTCACTAATCTCACCACTTGGAAATCAGTCCCTCCTCATTCCTCAGTGCTATGTTCTTCTTATGTTATAGTCCATACTATACTGCATGGTTACTGGATGGTTATTACATAATGATGCAGAGTTGTGTGTTTGTTATAGTCTTTCTGACAGTTCCATGGAGGCATCTTCGTATTTCCCTTAATAAAAAAATGAACTTAAAGAAACCAGTGTTGCTATACAGGTATCTGTGTGGTGTGGTGTTGTTCAGTTGTGGATGACTCTTTGTGACCCCATTTTGGGGTTTTCTTAGCAAAGATTCTGGAGTGGTTTGCCATTTCATTCAATAGCTCATTTTACAGAGAGGAAACTGAGGCAAACAGGGTCAAGTGACTTGTCTAGGCTCACACAGCTGGTAAGTGTCTTAGGCTACATTTGAACTCTGGATGAGGACTTTTCCTGCCTCTAGGCCTGGTACTCTTATCCACTGAACCACCTAGTTGTGTATGTGCAAAATATGCAAGGAGAGGCAAGAAAATCAAGGGCAGTAAAAAGTAGGCTACAAATCTAAGAAGAATGTTACATTAGTTGAGTACTTTATCATTTTTTATATGTTATCTTAGATTCTCAAAACTGTGCTGAATTAATGAGCATATAATATTTCTATTTTCCAAAAATAAAGAAGCTGTGCTTAGCTCACAACAACCATTTCCCACCTGGCAGCTCTCCTGGACTTCATCATTGTTTCCAGAAACTCATCTTCCTGAAAGAACATATCACCTCTGAAACTCAAGCCTCCTCAAAGCCCCTTCCTTCCTTTGACTGGAGAGGGTGAAGGAGTTGACATCAGAGAGTTCTATTTCAGGAGGGCATCGATCTCATCATTCCCCACTCAGCTATAGGACTTAATCACCCCTCTCCCCTCTCCTACTCTTCCCCCCGCCCCCTTTTTTGTGTGTTTTCTTCCCCCATCAGACCATGAGCTCCCTGAAGTCAGAGACATATCTAGACTGGCACAGTGCTTCACCCATAGTAGGCACTTAGTAACTATGTTTACTGACAATTGCTAAGGATAAAAAAGGCCATTTAAAAAATTTGTGATCAAAGCAAGGAGTAATAGGACCAGTTCTCAAGGGAGATATGTCTACAGTTATGAATAATTATATACCAACCTGCTGAAAGTACTTGCAAATTTGATCTGACAGCTACTTCCAGTAATTTTTGAGATATCAAGAAGAACAGTCTGAAGACTGGGTATGGAACAATGTCTTAATTTTAAAAAGGAGTAAAGGGCAACTTTCAGAAAGTACAGAAAAATAAGCCCAAGCTGATGATTGGCAAAAATGGAGAACATTAAGCACATAGTGTATGAGTCTTTAGGAAACAATGGGGTAAGAACCATGAGCCAACACAAGTTTACAAAAAATAAACCATACTAAATTAAACTGACTCTTTTGTAGACAGTGTCAATAAACTAGATATCACAGAAACCCTAGGCAAATCAGGTGTAGTCAAAAAGACCTGGGTTCAAATTCTCCCTGAGACAATACTAGCCGTGTGACCCTGGGCAAGTCATTTATCATCTCTGGGCTGGCTTCTCATCTGTAAAATAAGAAGATTTGACCTGATGAACACTGAGGTCCTTTCCAAATCGAAATCTACGATCCACTGACAAAGTTCTTCATGAATTGGTTTATGTGATTGTACAGTTAGGCAGATCTGCAATTGATTATACAACTGTGCCCCAGGTACTGATTAATGTACTGGTATTAATCAGAAGGAAGGTTTTAGTGGACTCTGACAATGCTCTTTCCCTAATATTCTTTAAAAATCACTTATATGAAGGCATATGACACTCATGAATCAGTTAAAAAGCATTTATTAAGCACCCACTAATTTATTTTGCTAGAAATTTGATGAAAAGTTTGGAAAGCTAGCTAATAAGAACTGAAATTCAAAACAATCTTTAAAGTTTAAAACATACTGGTTTAAGTCAACAAATTGAGTTAAATTCTTGCACTTAGGTTAAAAACTCAATTGTTATGAGTGCATATGTATAAGATTTGGAAAACCTGACTCGATAGGAATTCACCTGAAAAAGATCTGGGGTTTTCAGCTGATTGCAAAACTCGGTGAGTCAAGTGTGTTATGTCGCTGTTAAAACTGCTAAAGCAATGAAAGGCAGCATTAATTGCAGAGCGACTACGAGAAGTAATGGCACCACTGTGCTCTGTACTCAGGTACCCTGAATACTGTGTTCAATCCTCCCATTTTGAGAGAAAAATTGGCAACCTAGTGTATGCAAAGGAGAGCAATCTAAATGTAGAGGGGCCTGGAAATGACAGCACAAGAATGATTGAATTGAAGCCGTTCAGTTTGAAGAGGCATTTTTAAAAATGTATCAATGTGAATAAGGTAATTTGTTTTGGGGTTCTCCAGGAGGCAGAACTAGAATGAATGGAGGAAAGTTAGAAAGGTAGGTGTAATTCAATGTAAAATTCAGCTTTCTAATGATTAGTGCAGTCTTAAAAATGGAATAAATTGTATTTTAAAAGCAGTTAAGCTCTTACCACCCAACATAATTGGGCAAGGGCTAGAGGGCCATTCTACTTGTTAGGGTGGGTAGAGAAAGAAGTCCTACGCTGGAAGTTTACACTACATAATGTCTAAGGTTCTTTTCAATTCTAAGATAGGAAGACTGGCCCCAACCCTCTCTCCCCCCAGCAAAACAAAACAAAAACCAAACACAACTAGGCTTATACTAACTTAATTTTTTGGCCTGGAATACATCCACCTGGATCATCTTTGTGGCTGAATTCCCTTGCAGCTTCCCTACTTACTGCCAGAAGGGGTCTTTGGGAAGAAAATAATAATGCAGTAGAAGCATGCACTGACAAAGAACTGTCATTTTCTATAAGCTGTTGGAAATCTGCCTAGCAATTTTGTTTCTGCTGCTGTGCTGCGTTAATTCTAGTTTATTACGTTTGAAACTCTTTTGTGATGTGAATGTTAAAATAAAAAGTATGGTAAGAAATAAAGTGTTCAGTTTTCAACTTAGCCTATAGGACTATGTTTATAATCATAACCTGGTTTTTGAGGTGGTGGACATTACACAAATTTATGCAGGATCATTTGTACAATGTCACATAATAAAATATTTACCAAAGATAATAATCATCATTTTGCATTAAAGATACAACAATTTCCCTCCATGATTATTTACTGGGAAGAATATTTAAAAATTACAATGAGGCTGTGAGGTGAGAAGAATCCCAGGATGAAGCTTCACACAAAACAGTATTTTTAGAAATAGATGGCATATATTTACCTTTCACTATCTTCTTTGCACAGTCATTATATACCTGCTCCTGTGTTGTGCTTGACTGGAATACACGATCAAATGCATAAGGCTTGGACTGAAGAACAAACAAACAAACACACACCAAAAAAAAGAAAGAAAAAAAGAAAATTGAAATTAATCAGAAAGTCCACCGAAGAGATGCAAGCAAAATACCTTGTGAAGTCATCTACACAAGTATGAAACTCTCCCAGCAAAACTTTTGAGCAGCCCAAACCAGATTAAAATGTAATTGTGAAATGTTTAAATAAATAAAAACACAATGCAACATAGATGATATTAATTTGTGGTATGCTGCCCAAAAGAATCTGTTTCTATTTTAATCTAACACCATTGATCTAGAACAGTGGCAGTCTTGAGTTCACAGCAGGTCCTCAAATACATATCATCAATCTTTCCTTGGTATCTACTACCCTAAGCTAAGGCTTAGATGTACCTAGGATCTTATCTAGATAGGTAATCCCATTCCTTCAAATTCAGTTCCTACTAATGCAGGGTACTATGTTAAGCTAGGCCCTAGAAATATGCTTGTTACACTGGCATGACACAGACCTCTGTCTTGGGGACAGTTCAACTATGATCTCTTCGTGCCTTCCCAGCCTACACTATTCTTGACCATTTATTTCACAAATCTCCTACACAAGATCTAACCAAATTGTCAGAGGTCTTCCTTTGGTTTTTAAACGCTCCTGGCCCCACAACTTTGAAATGTCTAAAACTGAACTCATCTTCCTCCTGCTCTTCCCACTTTGCTTCTCCCAGTCACTGAGGCCCCAAAATTTCAGACACCTTTGAATTTTTCCTTTCTTTTACCACTCATTTCCCATCAGATGCCTGTCAATTTCACCAACTTGATTATCTTCTGTGTCCATCTTTCTTCTCCCTTACCCACTCAATGGGACACACACACACACACACACACACACACACACACACACACACAGCCACCACTCAAATTAAGGCCTTCAATCTCCTACCTGGGTTACTATCATAAGCTTCCTAACTGGTTACCACACCATGAGTCTCTTCTTTCTCCACTCCATTCTTTGTGAAGCTGCCAAAATAACCTTCAAAATGCACAGGTCTGGCTATATGACTCCCTTATTCCAAAATATTCAGTGGCACCCTATTATTTATAGCATAAAATACAATCTATTTAGCTTAGAATTTAATGACAATAACCTACTTTCCCTATATTTATTCACATTACTCCTCTTCATGCAACATTCAACACATACTTCCCCCACAAAGTAGACTTTCAAATGTTCCTAGAATCCAACTCTACCTCCATGTACTCCATAATACAGATAATCTTTCATGACTGTAATACACTTTCTTCCTTCTCATGTTCATGTGTTGAAACAGCTCTTCTCTTTCAGGGATTTTTTCAGTTCTATCTCCTCCAAGTAACTCGCCCTGAAAGTCATTCCTTAACTCATTCTTTCAAGAAACATTTATTGAGAATCCTGAATACAGACAGATGACTGTACTAGGGGTTGGGGCAGATATATGGCTAAGCCCGTCCTGTCCCTCACAGAATTTATAGTCTAGCAGCAGCAAAGAAATTTTTTCCCCTTCTGTACACTTTCCTAAAGAATTCTGTCTGAATCCTTTTTTTTTCTCATCACATTCTATCTTATATTATATCTATATCTATATATAGTGTGCATGTTGTATCTTTGCTCACCCTCTGAGCCTATAAACTCCCCCACCAGCAGGTGCTATGTCCTCTGCTCTAGTGCCTGACATCTTACATACAGTAATTGTGCATTAATGTTTATGTATGAATGTATGAAATTTAGTTTCCGCTTCACTATGTGCATTTTTATACTTGATAATCTTGTACTTTGGAGTTATTGCTACACACCCAGCATGAACCATTTATTCTGCATGCTTCCTACAACTGCTCAAGAAATGCAAACCAGCTTAACTTAAACAAATCATTAAGAAATTTCATAAATTTATCTTCTTTTTAGCTTCTGAACATTCCCCATAACTTTGACTTGAGACAATTAACCACTGTTTTCCCTAGCTCTGAAACACCAGTGCCATAATGCTGATACACAGATTAACACTAACAACCACTGGTTTTCAGTTATACAAATTCATTTTGAGAAGGTAGCCAAAGTAGGCCAAATGCTTTAGGTTTTTTGTAGGCACACAGAGCAGAAGCTGTTTTATATTTCTTCTCTAGCTCATATTCCTCCTTTGGGCATAATAAGATAAAATGGATATAGTCTCAGAATGCATTTTTTAAGAGAAAGTTCATTTTCATAGCAAGACAGACAGTTTTCTAGAAAGAAAAAACTCAACCACCAATCATTTCATTTTTGTTGTCTAAAGGACTTGGATAATTGTTATTTAAATAACAAATGTGTAAATCAGTAACTTAATCCTTATTTAAATCCAATAGTTTAAAAGAACTAAGACCACAAATACCTACAAATACATTCATTCTGGTCACCTGCTTGTTTTTGTGACAATTCAATGTAATACAGGCCCAACAGGGATTCTATATATTTGATATGCAGTATCAGGTAGGAGAGGTAGTTCAATTCTCACCTCTGACATTTAATCTGTGACCCTAGGTAAAACACAACTTGTCAATGTCCCAGGCAACTCTGTTAAGATTATAAATTGAAGAAAAGGTACAGATAAGAGTTTCCTCATAGGGAGTTGCATATATTACAACTACGACTACTATTATCAGTACTACCACCAGCCAACATTTATATAGTGCCTACTTTGTGCCAGGCACTGTGCTAAGTGCTTCACAAATAGGTGAAGTCCTCCCCCCTTCCCCCCTTTCAGGAAAATGCTCTTTCGACACTAAATTTAGTTCTGAGTTCAGGACTACATACTATGTAGAGTTTCAAGAATAAAGCTTTCTTTGGTCTTAGACACCTTGGAGTATGGTACAGTGAAAAGAGCCCTAATTCTGGATTCAGAGGGCCTAGGTTCAAATACTACCTTTAATACTTAACTACTTACGAACCTTGGGCAAGTCACTTAATATCCCTGGGTCTCAGTTTCTTCATCTGTAAAATGGGAGGGATGGAATAGATAGCCTCTGAGGCCCCTTCCGGGTCTACATCTATGATTCTATATGATAATTAATATGTCATTTTTGCCCTTCTTTTAAAATAAAGTTATAAAAGAAGGTTAACAGCATGATGTTTTTAGAACTAAAAAGGGCAACAGAAACCACTTAGTCCAATCTTCTCATTTTACAGATGAAGAAAGTCTTAAACATGTTGGGAGACTTACCCAACATGAAGAAGATTTTGACAACTGTGCAGGGTGGATTGGAGAGAAAAGAGACTAGAAGTAAAGAGACCAATTAAGAAGCTATTACAACAGATCAGATGACAGGTAATAAAAGCCTTGATTAGACTAGTAGCTAAGTCAGGGGTTCTTCAGCCTTGAGGCCACATGTGGTTTTCTAGGTCCTTGGGTGCAGCCTTTTCCCTAGGTCCAAGTTTTACAGAACAAATCCTTTTTAAGGGGATTTGTTCTGTAAAGTTTAGATTCAGTCAAAGGGCCACACATGAGGACCTAGAGGGCCACCAGCGGCCTTGAAGCCCAAGGTTTCCCACCCCTGAGCTAGGTAATAGAGAGAGGTAGGATGTAAGAAATGCCAAGGAAGAAAAATCAAATAGATATGGAAATTGATTGGGATGAAAGGCAAGGGAAAAAACTGAAGATAACTCCTGGGTTATAAAGTTGAGGAAATTAGAAGGATGGTGGTTCTCTCGTAAGAAAAAGGACATCTGGTGAAGGAAGGATTTTAGGGTGAAAATATCCCGTGACACTTTGGACATGTTAAAAGATGCCAACAGGATACCCAGGGGGAAATTTTGATTAAGTATTAAAGATATCTGAGACTGAAGCTCAGGCAAGACATTGGATTTCAAATCAATCAACAAGCATTTTTTAAGCACCGCTATTGGGCTCTCACTATGGTAAGGCAATCATCTGACATCCTAATCAATTCACTAACCCACTCACCACAGAGATTCTTGCAAATCTTTTCATCCTTTCTTAAGTCTCCCACAGCTCCCCACCCCCCTACCCTACTGGCTGAGAAGCCTGACTTTCACTGGGGAAAAATCAATCAAACAACCAACCCCCCCCCCCAAAAAAAACTGAGGTCATCAGTGCAGCATTTCATTTTCTCTTCTGTTCCTCATCTAATGACTTCTTCAACTGTCTCCTCTGTCCCTCTGGTTTCACATGAAGAGGTGGGCCTCCCCTTGCAAACCTCCACATGCATGAGTGAACCCATTCCATTCTATCTTCTCCAGCAAATTTACCCATCACTCCTGCTCTCCCATTAATCTTCAATCTCTCCCTATCTACTGGAGGCTTCCCTACTACCTACAGATATGCCCACATCTCCCCCATCCTCAAAATAACCCTCACTTGATCCATCTATTCTTACTAGCTGTTGTTCTACAGCTTTCCTCCCTTTTTGGGGTAAATCCCTTGAGAAGGCCATCTACAATAAATGTTTCTACTCCCTTTCTCTTCACTCTCTTAATTCTCTACAATCTGGCTTTCAATCTCATCATTCAACCAAAACAATCTCTCCAAAATTACTGTTGCTGTTCAGCCGTTTTTCAATTGTGTCTGGTTCTTTATGACTCCATTTGGGGTTTCTTGGCAAAGATACTGGCATGGTTTGTCATTTCCTTCTCCAGCTCATTCTACAGATGAAGAAACCAAGGCAAACAAGGTTAAATGACTTGCCCAGGGACACACAACTAGTAGCCAGATTTGAACTCGGGAATACGAGTCTTCCTGACTTAAGGCCCAAGCATTCTATTCGCTGTGCCATCTAGCTGCCCAAGTTGCCAATGATCTTTTAACTGCCAAAACTAATGGCCTTTTCTCAATCTTCATCCTTCTTGACCACTCTGAAACCTTTGACACTGCTAATCACCTTCTTCTCCTTAATATTCTCTTCTCTCTAGGTTTTCAAGGCAATGGTCTCTGCTGATTCTTCTCCTACCTGATTGCTCCTTCTCAGTCTCTGTTCCTGGATCTTTATCTAGGTTA